ACAGAACTTCCAACAAATAGTAGCGCGACTTGAAATGCGATATGGCGATAAACACCTTCAGCAAGTTTACTATGCCCAAGTCAAGAACCGAATGCAGAAACCTGGAGAAAGTTTGCAGGAACTTGAAGCGGACATCGCTAGACTGATTCGATTGGCATACCCTACGGCACCGGAGAGCTTTCTTGATCAACTGGCTGTACAAACATTTATCGATGCCGTTCGTGATGGAGATGCCCAGCAGGCTTTGAGACTGGCTAGGCACGACAAAATAGAGAAAGCTTTGGCCCATGCGTTAGAATTCGAAGCCGCCAAGAAATCTAGTCATGGAAGTGCGCGAGTACGTATGGTGGAACCTCGCAGTGAGAGCCGGGTAAGAACCATCGAAGAGGAAGGTGGCTCTGAAAGTTTTGAAGAAAAGGTCAGTAAAGTAGTGGAAGAAAAGGTCAGTAAAGTAGTGGAAGAGAAGGTCAATAAAGCAATACAGTCACTGGCAAAGAAACGTGAACCACGATGTTGGAATTGCGGCGAGATTGGACACGTTCGCCGCAACTGCCAAAGACCATTGCAGCAGTCGGAAAACTAGGAAAGGTCGACAGGAAGGGGCTATCGTCGACCTGCAGAAACAAAGCCCCGATCTTCACTGTAAACATTACGTCGTCTGGAAAAGTTCTGAGCCTGTACATCGATGGCCGAGTTAATGGAGAAGACAGATCCTTGCTAGTAGACACAGGTGCAACAAGAACTATTGCAAGACCAGAGTTATTGAAGAATCATTCTCGGATCTCATCTTCGACCGTGCAGTTAAAAACAGCAACTGGTGAAAGAATAAAAACGCACGGAGAAATACAAATGTCTGTCACCATCGGAAAGACCACCATCAATCACCAGGTGCTAATTGCTGATATTTCTGATCAATTCATCTTGGGGATGGATCTTCTTAAGAAACTCGGAGCTGTGTTAGACGTGAAAAAGGGCGTGTTAAAGGTCGGCGATGAAGAACTCCCTTTCCATGAAGACAAAGATGTCATCCGCCTGTTAACCACTCATGACGTCATTATACCCGGACTTAGTGAAAAAATTATAATGACCACTTTAGATGGATATTGTCGCCAGGGAAGCCTACGGATAGTCGAAGCACTAAACGAAAAGGAATTTCTAGTGGCTAGGGCTCTGGTAAAAGTTCAAAATGGCGTTCCGATTCGAATTATGAATTTGAAAGATAGTCCTGTTAAGCTAAGCAAACGAACTGTAGTTGGACAGTGTGTGCCCATCTCGGCTATTCGCTCTGTGAGATCGGAAAATCTATCTAAAGGAAAGTATCCAAGAGAGCTGATAGATATGGTCATTAAAAACACCCCAGATTTGGACAATAGACAACGACAAAAGGTGAAAAATATGCTTGTGGAATTCCGAGATGTGTTCGCGGTAAACGACCAGGACAAGGGCAAGACAAGCATAGTCACCCATAAAATAAATACTGGCAATTCCCAACCGATTAGACAACAGCCAAGGCGACTCCCATTGGCTAAACGAGACGAAGCTGAGGAGATTATTAGAGACATGAGAAAACAAGGTGTCATCGAGCCATCGAATAGTCCTTGGTCATCACCGATAGTGCTTGTAAAGAAGAAGGATGGCTCCACAAGATTTTGCGTTGACTACCGTCTATTAAATTCGGTCACCAAGAAAGATAGCTATCCACTGCCAAGAATAGACGACACCTCGGACACTCTATCTGGAGCCCAATGGTTTTCCACACCCGACCTAAAGAGTGGTTATTGGCAAGTGGGGATGGAATCGACAGACCGAGAGAAGACCGCGTTTTCTATAGGCTCTGGACTTTGGCAATTCACAGTAATGCCTTTCGGATTGTGTAATGCCCCCGCGACGTTTGAGAGACTTATGGAAGCAGTTCTAAGGGGACTAACGTGGCAGACATGTCTGGTATATTTGGATGATGTTAACACCGCCATTGGAGCTGTTCTCTCTCAATTGCAAGACGGACAGGAAAGAGTCATTGCCTATTTCAGCAAAGTACTGTCGAAACCCGAGAGGAATTATTGTGTGACTAGGCGAGAGCTCCTGGGTGTGGTAAAGGCATGCGAACATTTCCATAAGTACCTTTACGGCCGCAAGTTCCTGATAAGGACAGATCATGCAGCGCTAAAGTGGCTCTTGCAGTTCCGAAACCCAGAAGGACAGGTGGCAAGATGGTTAGAACGTCTTCAGGAATATGACTACGACATTGAACACAGGGCTGGAAAAGTTCACAATAATGCAGACGCTTTGTCAAGAAGACCGTGCAAGGACAACTGCACACATTGTTCTAAAATAGAAGACAAGATTGGCCATCTGCGACGAACAACTGTAGAGAGTGAGGAATGGAAGCCAAGCGAAATCAAAACGGCCCAAGAAAACGACCCAAGTATAAAAACTGTTCTGAATTGGATGCGCCACGGACAAAGACCAGACTGGCAAGACATTAGTGCCACAAGTCCTGAAGTAAAGAGTTATTGGGGCCAATGGAATAGCCTGACTCTGAAAGACAACCTGTTGTATAGGACCCTTGAAAGTGAAGATGGCACCGAATCGACGCTGCAATTAGTAGTACCTAGAAGCAAAGTGTCGGAAGTATTGCGAAAATTGCATGACGGCGCTTCCGGAGGACACTTTGGTATTACGAAAACGTTGCAAAGGGTACGTGAGCGATTCTATTGGGTCAACCGTAAAGAAGATGTCCGGCGATGGTGTCAAAAATGTGAGTTATGTGCTACTGGAAACGGACCAGTTTCCAAGAAGAAGGCACCCATGAGGCAGTATAACGTTGGTAGTCCGATGGAACGAGTTGCTATCGATATCGCAGGACCGTTTCCCGAGACAGATGGCGGAAATAAATATATCCTAGTCGCTATGGATTATTTCACAAAGTGGACTGAAGCTTACGCCATTCCAAACCAAGAGGCAGCAACAGTTGCAGAAGTGTTGGTAAAGGAGTTCTTTACACGTTTTGGTGTTCCTATAGAAATCCATTCAGACCAAGGAAGGAACTTTGAATCGGCTTTGTTCCAAGATGTTTGTCGATTGGTAGGAGCCAATAAAACCAGAACAACACCTTTGCATCCTCAGTCAGATGGAATGGTGGAGAGAATGAATCGAACGATGGGTAAATATCTTTCAAAAGTCGTGGCAGAACATCAGAAAAATTGGGACCAGTACCTCCACCTGTTCCTTATGGCATATCGATCAGCCGTCAACGAGACCACGGGTCAGACTCCTGCCTGCCTTATGTTGGGTCGTGAACTACGCCTTCCATGTGATCTCGAGTTTGGGCGTAAACCCCATGAAGAATATGTCGCAGGTGAAAATTATGTTGACCAACTAAAGGCGAAGATGAACGATATTCACGACTTGGCTAGAAGTCATATTCAGATTGCCAGCGATCGCATGAAAAATCAATACAACCTCCGCTCGGCCAATGAAACTTTTGAAGCTGGAGATCTGGTATGGCTGCACAATCCACAGAGACGAAGGGGTCTTTCTCCCAAGCTACAAAGACAATGGGAAGGTCCGTATGAGGTGATCAAGAAAATAAATGACGTGATATATCGTATCAGAATGAACCACCGGAAACCGAAAGTTGTCCACATTAATCGACTCGCACGATATGCCGGATCCAACAACAACGAAGAAGTTAGAGGTATTCGAGAAGAGGAACGCAGCTTTGGGATCGAGCCAAACTTTAACGATTTTATGTCAAATTACGCCCAGCGGAAGAAAGCTCGATTTGGCGTTACTCAGGAAATTTGTCAAAATATTTTTGAGCTTCCGGTTAACGTTTCCATCGCCCATTGTGTCGCCGAAGACCTTCGCATGGGTAGAGGTATAGCTTCCGTATTCCGGAAAAGATTTGGAAGAATGGACGAGTTGTTAAAGCAAAGACCACGAGTGGGTAAAGTACTGCGCTTGGAAGATAGTCAACGCTCTTTGTTCTACTTGGTTTCAAAGAAAACGTCAGAAGGCAAACCCACCTATGAAAACCTCTGGTCTGCTTTAAAAAGCTTAAAGAAACTCATGGCATACTATGACATAAATAGCTTGGCGATCCCGAAGATTGGATGTGGTTTAGATGGGTTGGACTGGAAGATAGTGCGAACCATGATCGAAGTGATTTTTAGAAACACTAGCGTTCGAATTACAGTATGCTGCTTCAACCCACAGGGGACGACCCTCCGCAAAACTGTGGACTGTTACTTTTTCAAGAAAGGTGTTTGTCGAGCAGGCTCTGACTGCAGATTCCGACACGAGGCATTAAAAAGTAATACTAACGCAGTTTCTGAACGAGACGTCCAGAATTAAGAAGGGGGCAGTGTAACGGAAATGCTCCAGACATGACGTCGCCTTTGGCGCTCTGGAATTTTCTAGACGCGCGATGGTAGGGATGTTTGCAGCGTGTCTGGTAAATGCGCGAATGTTCTGGACTTACATTGCTTGCGTGTATAAATGGTTGCGGACCGAACATCGCGGCAGTTTTTACTATCGAACGAGATCGAGTACGTATGAAACATTAGAGCGCGGAAATATAAATTGCGAAGTGTGTGAAATAAATAATCGAATCGAATATTGATATAAATCGAACCCGAATTTATAAATAACGTTACAATACTGTAGCGGAGATAGTATTGCATTTGTTTGCTTTAAACACTTTATACGTTAGTTCTAAACCCAGCGAACTACATACCGGGAAATCTTGTTTTCTTGGAGCTCGCTTTCGCCGGTTGCGCTGCCTCACCTCGCACAACCGCCGAACTATATAATCATAATCACCTAGTGGTGTGAAATTCTCATACCTACTAAATATATATAAAAATCAGTCAAGCCGTTTCTGACCACAAACACTGTGAAAAGGGATTTTTACATATTAGATATTTGGATGTATCTACGGAATACGGGTGTATTTTTTGTAATTATCAAAAAATGTTTTGATTAAATAAAACACATCATGAAATCACAATGTTTTCACACCTCTATTTTGCACAAAGTAGTGAACATATTTCATTCCCTATTTTACTCATTTACGAAATGACTAATGTATACTTATTTTACGTCGAACATTAAAGTAAAGATAATGGAATACTATAAAAATAAGGATCAACACAGACACCCACACCATTCCTCTATATGTGGTGATGTGGAGGTGCCGGCGATGCAACCGCAGCGGCTTGTGGCGAAGGTGGGGTGGGCGTCGTGCTAGCGCCCGCGTCACTAGATGGCGTCGAGTGTGCTACTGTGTTTTGTTGTGCCGCCCATTGACCTTGTTCCGCCTGCATTCTCTGGTGGGCTTGTTGACGCGCCCGAAATTCGGCAGCTTTTAGCTGTTCTAAATGGAATTGTTGTCTTTCAGTAATTAGCTGCTGCCTTTGGTATTCTAAACCCTCCCGCTCACGTTCCATTGTCGTCTCCAATTCTTCAAAGTGCCTGAGTTTAATTTCCAATTTTTTCATTTGGGTTTCGACAAGCAAAGCTACCAATGACTTGATCTTACGTTCTTCGACCGCCGCAAGATGTTTGGCCTTAACAGCCGCTGCGGCCAAAGCTGCAGCCGCTGCACTTTGCATTTCACTGTCTCTCAATAGCTTTTCACTTTTATTTTCGGAGATATCCATTTTTTCTTCCTTTTCCTCTGAAATCTCTTCCTTGATTGGTTTTTCCTCCAACTTCTCCTCAGATTCCACTCCGTTCTTTTTCTGTTCCCCATCCGATTTTTCTTCCTCCTTTCCATCCTCCTTCTTCACCTTATCCTCTTCTTCCTTTTCCGGAACCGTACCCGCGATGCCACTGAGAGCTAGTCCGGCTGAAGGATCGAATTTTCCATCGGACGACGACGCCTCGACGTTCTTCATGTGAGCATCCATTAAAGCGGCAGGAACCTCATCTTTGATGTTGGCAAATTCGTTCATAGCTGATTTGGCGGCTGCGGCTGCCACTCTAGGATCCACTATCGACGCTAAAAATGCAACCGTCGACATGATCGGATTTCCCGATTTGCTAAACGGAATGGGCTGAAAAGCTAAAGGCCCAATGGCGCCACCGGCTTCGGGATCTTCAAGGTAGGGATCTTCAATGGGTAACCGTAGGAAGTGAAGAATGCATTCGTCTTGGGTACGTGATCCTACATGCTCGCACACTTTATTCCAATCGTCTTTAAACATTTCGAGACCTTCGAGAAGGAGCAGAGTCTCTTGTTCGGTCCAATCGCGTGACAAGGAGGCGGCAGTTTTGTTTCGTAGCAAAGCCGGTTTCTTCGCGTATTGATCAAGTTTTAATCCGAAGTTTGACATGTGATCCATCATGTCCATTTTTTTATATTCTTGCGAACGGTCCAAATCCAGTAAGGTCTTGGCGGCGCTCGGTTGGCAGGTTTTCGGGGGATTCACAGGTTGCAAGCCGGATGGGGTGTCGGATAGAATGTGGAAGTGGGAGGTGGGAGGAGGACCCATTGGAGACGGACGGGAGTCTGTATCCACTTGATAGTTCACCAATCCCCACTGTTCGAGAAAGGCGTGTACGCGCATGATTGCGCAAACGTCACCGGCGAGATTACGTCGGCATGCCGTGCTCGTGATGTACTCTGTCGGATTTAATCTGTAGGTGTCGAGCATGAAGTTTCTATACGCCATATAGATTTCCGGGGTTTTGGATTTGTTGCGCCCATTGAAAAATTCGGGCAAAGCTCGCTTTTCCAAATCGTGAATTGAATTGTAATCGAACCAGGCGGAGTACGATGGAATGATGATGTGATGAGTTTGCTCGGTTACATTGTCTTCTTGGCTATCTTCCTTGTCCTGCGTGTTACTGTCGCTGTTTTTACCAGTTTGGGAATCTTCGCAGCGATCTTCAGATTCATCCAAGTCCGTCACAGAGCCCCCCTTTAAGGGTTGCAGCTCGTGGTCCTTCTTACCCAACTGGTTCGCCGCAGATGGACTGACTTCCACTATGTTCGGTTCTGGAATAGGCTCTTCCATATCTTTCGTTAGATCTTCCGGTTCGATTTCATCGGGACGTGTTTTTTTGCCGACCGCCGGACTTCTACCGCTTTTGCGTTTACCCACCTTGAGTGTTGAGGGTGATGGGGATCGCCGACGTTTTTTGTTCTTCCTGCAGGAATAAGAAAATCGATAGTACAAGGCGAGGGGTTCATAAAAGTTGAAGCTCCATGCAAAAATTTCACTGACAGGACAATAAAGATTCTCTTAATGGAGTAAAGATTGCGCATTTTTCCTTCCTTCACAGATTTCGGTTATTATTTGATAGCCCACTTCCTATGTGAATACATTTGTTTCCATAAAAATTAGTCAGATCACGTTAATGGTAACGTGAAAGACAGGCCCAAGACCCTATACAGGGCGTTCCTAAATATGATGTACGTACGGAATTAATTGTACTAAAAGTTCATATAAACCTAAACGCTATGCTACTGATCTACAGAGTGTTATAGTTCTACCGCACACTTCACAATTATTATAAGCTAATGCAAACACAATAACTGTCAAAATTAATAAAAACGAGATATTCAGCCCCGTGATGTATCAGAAACGTCAAACTTAACGTGCGGGTTATCTGGCAAAAAACGTTATTTTGTGTTATTAGGTATAGGCGAAACGGCGTTTTTGACAGATAACCTGCGCGTTAAGTTTAACGTTAGTGACATCACAGGGTTGATTATCCAAATAAAGCTAGGACCTACGGGACCATTTTAAAAATTATACTTTCATTTAGCCAACTACCGTAAATTTGTAACGGTCACAGATACGAAAAAATGACAAGAAACCAAAAAGTTTCTAAACAAACCAGATAATGCAATTTTTCTTTTACAATCAAACAGTGGTCAGGGGTAGAAAATGGAATATGACCCCTAAAAAAACAACACCCTGTAGATTGTCACTATCATTGACAAGACCAATGATGGAAGCCCTGCACCGTAACATATTTCAAATTTGAGCAAAATATCTCAAAAACTACAGGATACAAAAAAATTTTTTTTAAATCTTGCTTTATTAAACACCCTGTACATTGGTATTGAAGCGTTTGCGTTTATAACTAGTCATAAAAAAACCAAAGAATTAGTCCCTTCCGTATTTAAATCATATGTAGGAACACCCTGTGCAGGGTGTAAATCGAAAAGTGGAACATAGGCGTTTAACATGGGAAATTACTTTTTCTTTGCGCAAACGTTTCCTAATTATTTTACGCAAAAATACTTCAAATAAAAAGTATAGAGATATAAATTCTGCATCTAAATCATGTGAAACGATTATTTTACTTCTTCTTGTACGCCAAAAAATTAATTATCAAGATTCTGTTTTCACGAGTTTTTAGTCTAAGTAGCCATGGACTATGTTTTTCTTTTATCATAAGTCCATGGCTACTTAGACTAAAAACTCGTGAAAACAGAATCTTTATAATTAATTTTTTGCGTGCAGGAAAATGTTGGAAATGTGAGTGTAAACCAAAACTAAAATTTAGAAACATTCAGAAACCGGGCCACCTAATGAGAAATTATGTCCACCTTGCTATTTTTTTAAAGAAAACCTGGACTGGGTAGAAATCTAAATCATACAAGAAATTTGCCCCATTTGAAGAGACAAATGCAAACAGAATGATTATTCATCTCGAAATATTTTTGGACAAATGACGGTGTAGAATAATAAAAACAGACCAAAAAAATCTGACACGTGTATCATTGGTATAACAAAATTTAATAGAAAAATCTTGTTCGAGAAATGACGATGTACCAAAAAAAAACACATGTTCTATTTGACACCTATACTTGTAAAAAAATCTGGTTTTGATAGTGTTTGTATAGGGTGTTCAAGAAGTAACTATATATAGATCATTTTTTTAGACTATTTTGGATAAATGACAGACCAAACAAAAAAAAACTTATTTTCAATCCAACGTATGCTTCCACCTACTGTATATTTCTACAAGGTGTTCAGAAAAGATATACATGATCATTTTGGGCAAATTACAGTGTACAGGGTGGCCAACTAAGAATGCGAGGTACTGTATCTGAGAATTTATCCATCGTAAAGGCTTGCGGAAAACAGTCATTCGACCAGGGAGCCAATGTGCCTAAGGGAGACCTCATAGGCGACAAAATCGCCTTCCTACAGGCAAACCGCCAGCCCAACAACGCGGCCTCCGACGTGCTGTGTAAGAGGTTTGCCACAACCAATGTGACGATTGTGCTCATACACACCCCACAGTATGAAAGATGGAGCACCAAGGACGGCAATGATGCTTAAATCAACCAAGCAAGTTTCATACCAGGGACCTGGTTGCAGTAGATAATCCCCTCAGCTCAGCGGGGATACCCACAGAAATAAAAGCTCTGAATACTGCAAGCAGAGGAACATCAACCTAATCATGGGCTGAATGGCAACGCGCACCACATAGCAAAGAGTAGTACGGACACAAACAAGAGGAGTAAATTGCTAATTGGGTATATCAATTCAACCTCACTTGAAATAGCAAACGCGAACAAAATTAGACAGTTAGATATTACTCTCTCAACTCTGCTAATTGGGGCAAACATGTATCTGGCATGCATCAGACGAGACCTCAGTCTCGGACCATACGCATGTAAGGGTTGAGATAAATGGACCTGCATGGTCAATTACAATCAAGGCCCCACAACTGACAGACCTGTGCTCCTATGAGGTCTAGGTTTGACTAGTTTTTCGACCCCTCAAGGTCATTTAAGCCATCCCACACATGATATAAACCTGAGGATGCTGGAAGGGGAGGCGGCTCTAATCATAGCCATGTCTGGCTAGGATAACCCCTGGATCATCACAGTTGAACTAAAGCAGGACATTCACAAAGTATGTGTGGTGTGCCGTCTCATTGTCTGTGTAACATCATCTACAAGATGGCGATTCTACCAAACCCACGTGGTGCACATTCAGATTTTGTTTCAAACTCTGCACTGTAACTTCGAATTGTCAGTTTGTCGTTATTCCTTTTTTGGAATATGGAATATTTTTTTTAAATTGAATTTTAGATCGCTTTACACAGGGAAACTGAAATATGAATTCTTCCAAAATCTGGGCATATTTGGAGCTGAATATTCGAAAAAAATTGAAACTCATCATACTCATTTTGAGACCAACTTATAATCTATTGTCTTTTTATAAGACAAAAGTAACCGCAATTTTTTATTTTGAGAGAGAAGTAGGAATCAGTTCGATTTAGACAAATGGCGGTGTACCGCACAAAAACCTATCTTCATTTGAGAGTAACATATGATCCCACATATTGCTTTTTTAGGAAAAAAAAATGTACCATGTAGTGTTTGTACAGGGTACAAAAATAACTTGCCTCATTGTGAGACAGATGCAGTGTTTAAAAAAAATCTCTTATATAATAATAATAATAATGATAATTTTGAAATATTTTTGGACAAATTAGCCAAATAAAAAATATGTAGGTATCATTTGACACAAACATATGATACCACCTGCACTTCCTTATTTTAATTGCAACGTATGTCCCTGGTACATCGATGATCATTGTGAGATCTTTTTAGACAAATGGCAGTGTACCATAAAAAAATTCACCATATTGATAGTGTTCAAAAAGTGCAGACATAATCCTTGCGAAATCTTTATGGACAAATGACTGCAGCATGTAAAAAATTTGTCCCAATGTAAAAAAAAAATTGAATCAGGTATTTTTGTATAGGGTGTTTAAAAAATCAATGGATGCTTTGTGCCAACCAGTGTAACAAACAAAAACCCCACCTCACTTTATTTATTTGTGACAATGTATCGTATTTTGACACCAACATATGACCTTACCTGTCATCATTTCTGGAAAAACAAACTGAAACCAGATAACATTCGTATAGGGCAGTGTTTCCCAAACTATGGGTCACCTGAGCGAATATTGAATGGGCCCTAATGGGCGATATATAAGACACAAATAAAGAAATATGAGTGATAAATTTCATATTTCATTCAGCTATTTATGATTCTTAAAAATTTAAGAAAGTTAAAGCCAAGAGGTGGGTCCCAAGATTGAAAATGTTTGTTAAATGGGTCAAAACCCAGTCAACTTTGGGAACCACTGGTATAGAGTATTTCAAAGAGTAAACAGATGACCATTTATGAAGAAAGGATGGTCTACTAAATAAACACTTTACCTTATTGTGGAACCAACATACAAGTGTACCTATTATTTCCAAGGAAAACAAATTATAATCAAATATCATTTGACAGTTATCTGGCGATGTTAAAAGAAAACGCTCAATTGTTTATCTAAAGTTATCACCATAAAGAGATAGATTACTCTCTCAATTAGTATACGATTCTACTACTTTGAGAGTTACTTTCAATAGGTAATGCAAGCTATAGTGGTGAAAACTACACCAAATCGTGCTTACTTATTTCGATCAAGATCTGAAGAAGGATTCATAAGATCCTCGACGGACATTCTCATCTGATGAATCTTCTTCTGTCCCGTCTCGTCGACCTCGTAATCCTCTTCGGTCATCCACTCGTTGTACTGATCGGAATCTAGCAGCCACGTCGAGGAGACCCGCCACGGACCGGAGTGGGGCGAAGGCGAGTCAGCAGGCAGACCCTCCAGCGCTCCTTCCATCCCTACCCAAGTATCGTAAGAATCAGGAAAATAGTACCAATGCATCATGATCATTTTCTCCCTTCTCAGACCTGGTCGTGCGTATTCTTCCTCCAGGGGATCGCAGTGCGGATACAGAATATGAGTCGCCAGCTCTTCGTTGTCGATTGTTTGCCCGTTGCGCTTCCTCACGATATCCTTCAGTTTCATTCCCAGATTTTTGTCGATCTCCGGTCGTATATAAATGACCGGAAACATGTAGAACTTATTTTGAACGAGCGCCTTCTCCATCAGTTGAAATAGTTCGATAAATCGATCTAAACGAGCTGGACTCTAAAATCTTTCCAAATGAGAGTAAGAACTGTTACAGCGGCACACTTACCTTTCCTATTTGGAAATCGAATTTCCTCCAATTCTGATCACTTTTAAAGCGATATGCGGTTGCCAATATGTGGCAGAGAGCGCCACCGGGTTTAAAATCCATAAAAAACTTTATCTACGTAACAAATTATAAGATGTGCTAAATCTGGCCTTTTGCTTTACGTAAAATTAGCGTTAGTAAAACAAAAAGGAATGTTAAATTGTTAAAAAAGGATACAAACCTAGTTATGGGAGAGCATTAGTTAAAAAAACTAAAAGAACTTACAGGTATCCGTGTCATTGTTGGTTTCTGTACATTTTTGCCTAAGTTATCCTCTTGAAATTGTAACAGCTGCACCACGAGAGTTGCAAGGCTTTTGTTCGTCGGTGGATCTGATTGTACATACTGTAATATGAATGAATGTAAATCTACAAACTTGCCAAATATAAAAAGCTCTACCTTTTTCGCTGATTTTTGCAACCACTGCCGTATTACTTCGAAAGAAGATAACGTTTCTGGAGATTCAAAGTATTTAACATTGGGGCTTCCATCTTTCTTCGGTCCAAACGCAATCATTTTGAGGCGTTACGAAGTAGTCAGCGGGTTTGTTTACGAATGAAACTTTTAGTGATAGAAATTACACCAGCGTTTGCATTTAAGTGGTTTAATTTTAATTATTAATAATCAACTTTCATGAAAAAAGCCACCGAGGTAAATTGTAAACTTATAAATACATCATTGCCAACCTAACGGAGAGCAAGCGACTCAAGCAAGTAGAACGAAATGTCACCAGATTGTCATCGTTTGGTTGTTTTGGCTGCGTTCACCTACAACACAACACAACACAAATTTATTGCTTTGGGACCAAATCTAGACGTGCTCTGGTTCCTGGTGCTGTGTGTGTTTTTTACTAGATTAATTAACTTCAATTACATCTTAAAAGCCGTAAACCCTATAACACACAACGTGGATAAATCGGTAAGTTTACGGTGATGAAACAATTATTAAATTTTACCTGTGGAATATCAGATCTCTTGTTATTTATAACACCTATCACAAAGCTACTTTCATCAGAAACATTCTTGTGTTTTTCTGCATCTTCCATTCCACATAATTATAGATGTAATAATTCTATCTGGTAAAAAATTCTCTCGATACCAAAATGTACACTACTTACATATGTATTTGTGCATCGGTTGTTTCAACTAATTGTATTTTTTTTATTGTTACGGTTTATAAACTTTTCTGAGAACCTTATGTGCGCTTTCGCTTGGTCAAAGAAATTTTGAAAAATTATAAGTAACAAGCCCATGGCGGCAACGTAATCCCAGTAAAAACAAATAGTGGGCATTAACGCGGGTTCTTTCTTGCCTTTATGCGTATGATTGCGAGTATTGGATAATAGGCTGCAGCACTTGAAACAATAACTACATTACAATGTTGGCCAGACTGGCGCATTGTGCGGAATATGCTGGAAGTAGTGTTTCAAGATACCGGCGTAGGTCTGCTGTTTCAACCCATGATAATTGCTTCTTCTTCGAAAATGGAAGATACCCAATACCGCCATATGAGTAACTTGATAGAACGAGTTACCTGGGACAGCAAGTCGATTTCAAAAACAAAGATCGAAAATTAGGTATAGAAAATAGGAAATGTTGCATATAAAACACAAATAAATTATACTGAAATGCTAAGATTACTCTGTATTAAATAACACAAAAAACGCAACAAACGTAAAATATAAGATGCCAAATGTAACAAGCTTTCCTTCTTAAGATGGCGCAAACAGCTTTCCCCCTCTAAGTCGCGCGGTTGTTGAAATTCCTCACATTTTTCCAAAATTTACAGATTCGTCATATTCACATGTTTAAAATTCTTTTAATTTTATAACTTTTGAGATTTTTAAATTGCATCAACCATTAAGTAATCAAGAAGTCAAAAACTTAAAAAAATTACTTTGAACTCAGGTTGTAACGACCTTTTGAGCTCAGAAGGACGCTTTCCTGCCTTATCTGTAACAGATAAAAACACAAACAAGAGGGATAGTGCGGCAAATAAGACTGGTTCGTGCAGCAGTCGCGTCCCAAGGAAACCATGTCCATAATAAATAATGAGGTGCAGTGGTCCACCGCTGACAGCGACCGTCAACAGCTCCACGAAAACAGTACCTTTAGTCGATTTAGTGTTTTTCAGTTGTATATTTTGATCTAAACGTGCTTTTCTAATTTGGATTTGTCAGGGCCTCTTATTAGATTTAGTTTCGACTTATCCCACTAGCTTCTCAGTTTTACTACGATCCATTTTGTTTCCCGTCCTTTTTACATGACACAACTTAAGTCCCTTCCTCACAGAAAATATATTTTTTTGATAAAAAAAGGTACGCTACATTAATTAAGTTTACAAACGCATCTAAAGCTAATGGAAACGGAAAAAAAGAATCACAACTGCAATTATTTTCTAAATGAAAATTTCTACTAATCGACGCTATCATGATTTTTTATTTGTCTGAGGAGGGGTCGCCAAAGCGTTTATCTTTTCGCTATCGATGCCTAATACTGATGACAATAGTCGCACGACGCTCTTCACGTCCGGGTTTTCCGATTCTGCAAAATCACATTGAAACTGCCATACTTACTTGGCGCACGCACTTACCGTTCGCTGTAACCTCTTTTTCCAATTTTAGCTTCTCCTGGTTCATCTGCCACATACCTTCCTCTATCGTTCCCTTTGAAATCAGTCTATATACATTCACGGGTCGCAGTTGACCCATACGATGACATCGATCCTCCGCCTGCTTGTCGTTGTATGGATTGAAATCGATGTCATGGATGATAACTGTATCGGCGGCGGTGAGATTTATACCCAATCCACCAGCCTTGGTCGAAAGTAGGAATATAAATATATCGGGATCATTAGTAAACTGATCAATCAGTTCCTGTCTAACAGTCACGGGCGTACTACCATCCAAACGTAAATACGAATAATTCTTAAGCGTTAAATACTCTTCCATTACATTTAACATGATGACGTACTGACTAAAAATTAAAACACGATGTCCCCCCCTTTTTAATTCGTCTAGTTTCTTATCGAGATATAAAAATTTCCCAGAGGTTAAAATTAAATTGTCGGGCAACTCGAACTGATTCAAACCCTGAAAATTACAATTACGCCGAGCAGCGCGAAAACTTAATTGTCTTACCGGCTGATGCTTGCAAAGTGTGTGAATCTCGAAATCCGACATACACAGCAAATCCTCGGTTATGTACTGTACATTGGTTTCCTTGTATGTGGCCGAGCGCGCCAAAATACCTGCCATTGTTTTGATGTCCTCGTACTCGTAAAAATACTTTAACAGTAAAGGATGATTGCTCAGTTTGCGAAGGTCAGACATCACGGTCATCGCGCTAAACGAATTGGCATTCGTATCCTGTAAATGTCGGATTGAGTTTGCCAATGGGAATTTTTGCCACATTTGAAAATGGATGACCAATTTTAATACAAAAAAGTGCAGTTAGCATTAGCGGTCCAGCAATAGATTTGCATGATGAGACACAAGATGGATATCTTGAATTGTCTTTTTCTTTTCGCGAAATTTGTATTTCATTATCAACAAATTTTTATTCAAGTCTGATTACCAAACAAAATTATATAAGCTCTTCCCCAAAAATTACTGCCACGTTTGAGTTAAGTTTTTTATTGGTCGAATTTTTGGAAACCTGGATCACAAACCTTTGCTTTCAATGTAGTTGATGTAACTTAACTGGTACGTCCAATCTATCAATCTGGGTGTGGCTTTACGCCTGGTCAGCAAATTTATGAGTCAAATAAAACAACACATTTAAAACAAAGTGGTACCATTACACCATCCCCTAATAGAGATGTTTCCGTTTATTGTTGTAAATTAATTCTAAAAATTTAGGTCAAATGAAACAGAAAAGAATCATTAAAACACCTGCCCAAATGAAAAAGTTCAGACTTTAAAGTTGCTATTGGAAAAATAATTTCGTTTCAGCGTGTGACGTCACTTGACCTATTCGATAGCCTAGTACGTGAGCGGTTGATTATTGGTGCATATTGGTATTTTGCCTTTGCAAAGTAAGTATACGGGGTCAGGTAAAAAAGTTATCACTAATATATCACTATCACACCTAAAAGATTTCATATAAAATTCTTTTTTAAAAATGTAACACTAAAAAATGCAAAAATTAAGTATTGACTCCGTACTTGTTAGTGGTATCAAAAAAGTACAATTTTTGAATTTTTTAAACATTTTTAAAATCTTGAATCAATATTAAAGGTTTGAGTGGAAAATTGTAGGTTTTACTTTTTGGAAAATGTTCGTTTTTTTCTTCTGTAGGATAAAAACTGAAAAGATATGGTTGTTTAAAGTTTTCATGTTTTTAAAGAGTAACGTGCCTTACCTCAAACCCTTTCAAAAATAAGGGCTGAACAAAAAAATCATCACAAGCTTAAAAAAATTACTTTTTGAAATATGCTCGAAAAACCATCTGAAAACAACAAGTTGCTTAGAATTAATTCATCTATCCTTTCCCGGATTTATTTTTTATGAAACCTTTTTCATCCCCTCAGAAGAGATGGGACTCCCAAAGTAAAGGCAACTCCCGGAACAGTCAGTAGAGAGTATGTAGAACCTAAATCCAAATGTTTGTGCAAATTTGTGCTGTTTGGCAAAATTATACGGTATCACCGTATTGGTATCAGCACCTACAGTAATGCCGAGTGACCCTATATGTGTGAATTTCAATTTTCTTTGACCTTAAATGTTGGTCGCCAATTCAGAATGAACCCAATTTCGATCATGGTATTTGAATTTAAGGTCAATGTGATTTTGTTTAAGAAATGTTAATTTTATTTAAAATAATCGCTTGTATTTTATTTATTTAATTGTAATGACGTGTGAAAAGATTAAGTTTATTCCTTTGTTAGAATTTTATCTCCGGTCGTTGCGATAAGAGCGTTATCGCTGCGTAAGTCAATTAGTTTCAAGATAAGCACTTGTTATCGCAAATAAGAAAACACAGATATTTAATTTATTCGAAGACGCAGTTAGAAGTGGAACGGAAAGAGAGATTGTTTTAAATAGAAGAGACGGACGTTAATCGTGGCGTTTTAAAAATAACTGTTTATTGGCTTGTGTGTGTTTGGTAGCTTTGCCGTTATCGAAGCTTTTTAAAAAGACAGTCGGTCTTGTTTAATTTTGTCCTAGGAATGAAATTTAAATGAGTGTTTGAAAAGATTTAAGTCGTTGTGATGAAAGTGAATGTTTTAGGTCAAATTCTAGGTCAAATTAAAGTGAAGTTTTCGAAGAAGTAGTTGCTCCTCAGTACCCATTAAAGGGAGTTTTTCCATCATCAAAGAGTATTTTACATCAGTAATTACAACAAACCCAGTGTCGTTTAAATCGAGATTCAATAATTGAAGTCGCGGAGCTTCAGGTAATTAAGACTTTTTTAATTAATATCGATCTCTTGTTGCGTGGCATTTATCTTCTGGCCCTGGGTGCCTATCTTTCTTTCAGCTTATTTGATTGAATGATGTTGAATAAATTTGTTTCATCTGCATATTATATGGTTAGGTTAGAAGGATGTGCCAAAAAGCAAAGAAACCTTGGAATAGTCGGGAAGAAAAGGTTCTTGAAAGGGATGTGAAGGAGACGCAATAAAGATATGTGGAAGATTCATGAAGCAGCCCTCAAGATGATATGTGAAAATCTTATATAGTGGAGATACCAAAAGGTCATAAATGAAGCATTTGAGTGTGAAGATGTAAGGAACCTTACGTAAAGCGAAAGGACAAAAAGAGTGAAACTGTAAAAGGGGGAGCATAAAACATGCCTTGAGGCGGTGGTCGCTTTAAAATTTCCAGTTTTATTTTCATATTTGTGTTTTCTTAAACATAGGAAAATTTACACATACACCGCATCATAGCGAACGTGAACAAAAGTATGTCTAGCGATAAAAATCATTCGTTGATTGGGTTGGTAGGAGGCTAATTTGTAGTTTCAAATGGGAACCCAAATTTTTATGCCATATCTCGATTCTACTCTAAAAGGTATGGAAAATTTATGCAAAATATTTTTTTGTTACGTAAAATGTTTACAAACATAAACATTAACAAAATTAAAATTAGTTTCTATGATCACAGCGCCACCTGTTACCACGACAAAAAATATCTCGAATAAATTCTCCCCATTTTTTGGGTAAAAACGAGGGGGAGGGGGGTCTAATTTTCGGGCCATTCAATAGAGAACAACAATATTACTAAAATAACGGCTATTTGTTAACAATTTTCAAGCCCGTTAGTTATAAAACAGGTGGATAAGTGGTCTGGACCACCCTGTATAAGCCCATGAGAGCAAAAAATGAATACTTCAAGGATGACCTTTAGTGATTGTTGAAGCGTGTGTGGAGCAGTCACCGATGACGCCAAAGTGACGGGTCCAGCATCCAAGATGGTGGACCAATACTGAAATATGGAGCCAGGGGCCAGCTGCCGAAATACCCCGGGGGACAAACTGTCGAAATACCCAAGACCAACTACCAAAATACCCCGGGCCACCTCCCAAAGTACCTCGGATCAACTGCCGAAATATGACATTGCATTCCAGGTCAACCATTGAAATATGATCCCGCACCACGGATCAAATGCCAAAATTTGACGTTACACCCCGGGCCAATTGCCAAAATATGGCACAGGCCAACTGCCGAAATTTGACCCCGAGCCAACTGCTGAAATGTTTTCTCACAGTCCCAACACTTTCCCAGCCTAAAGTGCCCCCCTACCTACTATGACTTTCTGCTATTACTAACTTCACGCGAGTGAAACAAAACATAAGCATCACTGTTATGGCGTTTAAACACCACCGACTTGCGATTGACGAGCACTTACCTCTTTTCCTAAGCTTTGGAAGTGATATACAAGATTATTATATTGCTCCAGCTGCGTCGGAGGGAAGGGAACCACAACCAGTTCATCAGTCTTTTGCGGCAGATCTTGTAGAACGTCCTGCTTTAATCTTCGCAACAGAAAAGGTTTCATTATATCTTTGGCATGTTTGATTTGATCCTTTTCGAACGCTGGCAGCTCCTCTTCTGGGGTTATTTTCGACACTTTCTAAAAGAATACATGAAAATGTTCAGCAATACACCGAGACTGGTTACCGAATTTTTTTGAAAGAGATTTTTTAAATCGTCACTTCGCCCCGCGAACATGTCCGGCATTACGAAGATGAGCAGCGACATTAATTCTAATAGATTATTTTGTAACGGGGTCCCAGTTAATAGTATACGATTTTTCGCCTGCAATTACATATTAGCACGCCGCCATCTAGTGATTCAAACGGTAACCTTTATTCGAATTAAGTTTTCGTACCGCTGAGTATTCATATTTTTTAGCATGTGCGCTTCGTCGAAAATTACGTAATGCATTTGGGTCACCTTGAACATCTTCCTCTCCTCCGAACTGTTCGTGACCATCGAATACGTCGTTAATATGACGTCGTATTGGTTTATGTTCCCCTTAGACCAGTATTGAATTCTGTACATTTTTCGCTCCTCCGTGGTGCCGTAGTACATGAACACCTTCAGCTCGGGACACCACCTTTCGAACTCAACTCGCCAATTATCTGCGGTGATTACCCGTAAAAACTATACAAAGTTGACGCTTGTTTATAGAAACTCGTGTTTCTGTCAGATAAATAAATACTAGCAGAGTAAAGCGTTGGTCTGATAGGGGGCGCTTGATTTTTTTGTTTCAATAACTTTTTTATTAATTAGAATTTATGCGTATTAGACAGTTGACAGTAACACTACGTTTTAAAGTAAATGATTAGGTAAGTGGCTTCGTATTTTTAAAATGAAGTTGAGGGACCTACCAGTTAATTATTTAGCGCCCAACGTAGGGCACAGGAGGTATTAAGTATCTCTCTCTGACAGGAACACGTTTACCTTGGTCTACCGAGTCCTACCTAAAGTGGATGATGGAACGACAATTAAATGTGGAATGCCCAAAGTACCGCCAGTCTCCTTTAAATGCGCGAGAAACGCGATAACCTGAATAGTCTTCCCCAATCCCATTTCGTCGGCCAAAATCCCGTTGACTCCCTGCTTGTGCAAAACCGCCAACCAGTTGAGACCCACCATTTGGTAGCCAGTAAGTTGTTTTCTTAATGGAAAAAAATTAAAGACATACGCAAATGAAAGTATCAGGCACATACGATGGGTCCAACAATGCGGGTTGTTGCTTAACGCCTGCGCCTTTAGCGACCGCCCGTTCCATTTGCTGAGCCAAATTTTTACAGCACTTCATTAGACGTTGTATGTTCCTTCGAGTCAGTAAGACTTCTTGGGCCGCATTTAGTAGATCAGTGTTCAGGTTTTTGTTCTCTTGTAATTTTTGCACCTGTAAAGCAGAAAAATTAGAATTTCTGTGTCATAGTCTGTTTTTCAAGGTAAAAATCCGAAATGAAGTTCTTTTTCCAAAGACACTTTTAGAAGTAAAAAGAAATGAAAGCGATTTTAGTTTGAATTTTCCAGAAATCACTGGAAATCTATTTCTAGTCTCCGCCAATGGCAAAATGTCAATGAACAATTTTACTTCACCCCTCGTCTTTTATGATCTAGCCATCAAAATTCCTCCAAAATTGGTTTGTTGGGTATATTTTAGGAAAACAACCTTTTCTCTGATTAACCATGAATCTTACGCCCTCTAGCGGCAAACCTAGAAACTTGAAAACAGCATTAACTATTAGGAGAAAAATACGCTCTCGTCATTTATGTTTACATAAGGACTTAACTTGTTTTTAGTTTTTTTGAATTTTTCCGTATACGTGTCAATGGTATTTATTTCAACACAAAAACATATTTGATTCTGGGCAGCTAATTTAGCAAGGAGTGCGTGCCACAAATTGACACTTAGCATGTGACTTCTAATGGCAGCCGATTAGAAAATTTAAGAATTCGAATTCAATGTTTGTTCAATAAGTCAATTTAAAATTAATCATTGTTTAGGATGCCAATTACCAATTGCGCACTATACAGGGTATCCCACAACAAATGCTGGCTATCTATATCTCAAAAAAACACTTGGGAATAGTCTGAAAATTTGACAATATACTAGCATCAATAAAGGGAGTTCCTCTAAAATATTTTCAGGTTGGTGGTTATTTAGAAAGTTGATGGCAACTTGCTTATTTGAAATAGAACACCCTGTATAGTATTTCATTTTTGGGTTCTAAAATTCTATGTATATTTCATTTATAATGTTAATTGATGTCAAACTGTGACCGTGTTGATATTTTGATAATAAATAAATACAAAGAAATCAAAAATTAAATTTTGTTAGTTGGCTGTGACTCATCACGACAGCCCACAAAATTTTGACCTAAGCCTAATGGCCGAATTGTTTGCTCTTAATATAAGTAACCTACATTTTGTGTGTCCAAACCCTACGTAATACTCTGTATTATGCTGTAGGGGTTTTATAAACAATAACAACAATAAAATCCCAATTAGTCATTAAGTGATCACAGAGAAGCCCTTCATTTCAGATTTTTTTCTTTTGTTTCTGTTAAGCAAAGACACTTACAAGATCAACCCAATCATTAAAAGGTCGAAATTCGATAAGAACATCTGCCTTTTTTTTCGAACAAGTTGCCATCAACTGCAATTCACTCGGTATCGCAGTATTAAAAAATTCCAAAACTTTCTTCTTATCACTGGTGAGATGATTACTTATTTCCACATCGGAATCTTCGTCACTACAAGGCATTTGAGTAGGGATTCGAGTCGAACCCGGCTCAAACTCACCTATCGAAGACTCGCCGGTCCTTGTAATCGTTCGTCTCCACATCACTTTCATCACTAACTGCCTCGGTGCGCATCCGTTTAGCTGTACATGAACTGATGATTAGAAAATGAATACAACTGTATCGTGTCGTACCTTTTTTCTTGGTTGTATTACTGAACTCTCCGATTTTTGATCTTTTCTTCGGGTTAAATGCATTACGTACACCCTCTGTTTTAACTTCAGTTTTATGTTCGGCCTCCTTCTTCTCTTGTTCCACTTTCCAATTCGCGTAACTGTCGACTGGTCCGTTTGACCCGGTAGATGTCTGTAATTCCTTAATCGCATTATCTACATTAAAATTATGTTTGGAAAGGACGTCGTGAATTGCCTACAATTAACAGATTATTGTGGACGAGACTAATTTAAATTTCCGATACCATGGACTCCATTGAGGGGTACCTCTCACGTAGAAATCGCATCTGTTTCTCTTTCTCTATAATGGAGTCAGATTTTTTCAAGCGGCTTGTGCCATTTGTGTCTTCCTCAGTGTTTGGGGTGATGACCGAATCAGGATTTATGGTCGAAATTCCGTTTGTGTCTGTTTGAATGAACTCCTCGTTAGTTTGGCTATCGCTTAACGAAACGACATTATTTATAACAATTGAACTGATTGCATCACCGTAATCGTCATCGTCGTCATCGATCTCTATGATTTCTATATGTGACATTTTTACTGATGTCTCGCAATCTGAATCGGATTCACTGATCGGCAGTATACGTTTCCGAACCGGCTTTATTCTATGAACAGGACTGATTTCTGTCGCTGTGTATTAATTTCAATTTACGATTATTACGGAATTTCTCCAGATAGCAAGCCTTGCCGCTATTTGTAATTATTCTATGTACTTACATGTGGACAAGCAACTGTTTACAGTGTCAGGTGTGTGTGAAAAATTGGATTTCTTTTGAATTCTGAACTCCTTTAGATTTAATAAACTGGGACTGGTATCGCTTTCGGACATTATTCACTTAACGTTAAAGATTAATTGATGATACGGAAGAAGAAGTTTTATTACGGTTTTTCGTCGCTTTTTAGGCATCGGTCTTTAATGCCGAACCGAAATCTTTAAGAGGAAAAGGAATTACAGTTTACGGCCGAGTCGATCAGCTAACTGTTCGTGCTCTACTTTATCGGCAATTTTGGCAGATTTTGTGGTTATCGACTGTTTTAGGTGGATATACAAGGTGATAAACGAAAAATGTACACTTCTCCTTCGGAAATACAGTGGCACCACGCTCAGAAAGTCCCTGACAGGGCGTGTCCGAGGGCGCTAGAAATTTAGACCGTACATTCTGATGCAAAATTTAAAAACACGAAGGGAATTAAATACCTTATCAGATCGTAGATCCAAGCTATATGCGTCTTGAAAAAGACGAGTTTATATAAAACTGGAGACGGAAAACGTAAAAAAAGCAAATACAAGAAGCAAAGTGTAAACTAAAATAACGTGAAACGTCAACTGTCAAAACCGAATAATTAATAATTATGGCGCGGAATGTATCGCGTCGTTTTGCAGACTTTCTATTGGCCAGCCTGAATTATTTCAAAATTAGTTCGCATATTTTCCGGGGCTTTTCTGAGCATGGTGGCACTGTATGTACATTTTGGTTCTACCTGCGATTTCCAATCCAGATAACCACAGTGTTGTCATTTATATTGTGCCTGGTAAAACAATCTCTTCTCTCTGGAAATATAAAAGCAGTTATTTCGTTTGCAAGAGGACAAAATGGACAATAAGTATAAAAACGTGTTTTTGGCAACGGCTTCGCCATGTCAGCCACTTGATGCTCTGTAGAAAGTTTTTGAATTCCAAGTTTTTTCTCGGATACTTTACTCAAATGAAGAAATGTCTTACGGCGGTTGCATCGGCAACTTGGTAAAAAGAGTGATTCCAAAATGTGCTCGTGTAGGTCCCGCTTATAGATTTGCTGATGCTATTGGACAAGAATAATTTTGAGTCTTAAGCAAATCTTCTCTCATTCTCACACGTTGTTTGAGAGGTCCCCGCGAAGAATAATAAACCACTAGCAACAGAAGTAAAACAGAATAATATTACTTTTGGATAGGTCCTTCAAGATTTGAGAGAATAGTCACGACCACGCCCCTAAGCGAACAATGGAATCTAAGGTTTGAGAGATTCCATCCTGTATATAAATGCCTAGGCATTTTGCAAAATGCCGGATTTCGCAGTTTGCCGGTAACATATACAACCTACGATGATGCACACATTTCAAGAGCTGGTAACCGCGCGTTTTTTTTACAAGAAGAGGAAATCTGTACTCGTAGATGCGGTCTAACTAGAGTACCAGCACTAACTAGGTAACGTCATCTTCGTTTTAAATTTCGTCGTGAAAGCGTAGTGCAGTTTACTTTTGTTGATATTTTTGTATTATTTAATTCAGATAATAACTCTTACATTTCGTTATAATTTTGTTTTGTAAGCAACATTTTATATTTTTTATATTTTTCAATCTTTGTTCTTCAAATTGTCATGATTTAGCATCAGTGCATCACGTGTATGAAAAATACCGTCAATCGTTTACATTTTTGGTGTAAATGTTTGCCCAATTTTGTTTACATTTCGATTACTTAGCCCAAGTTACAGTTATAAATTGTGATAATTTTTTTTAAACAAATTGTTTGAAGTTTGATGTGTGTAAACTAACAATTTCGCCGTAAACGAGGCGGTCGTAATAACTGTACCTAATCACATTTTATAGGTACGACACCTAATGCCGGAACAGTCTCAAATCTCAACTATGGGCGAAGAATCCCCGCACGAAGGGTCCATAATTGCTGTTTGTTCTAGGGGTGGCACTAACACAAAAACTCTTCAGTTTAGAATCTATGTGCGATATGAGTTGCGATTCACTAATTTCCACATGTTCCGTATTATTAATAGTAACTTACAAGTTTTCTTCGTCAAAGTAAATATTCGTTTACAAAATAATTCATTATGTTTGATCAAGTATGCGTGGTTCGAATTTGTTTGAAACCATCCAAACGTCAAACGTAATTTTAAATAATTCAATTCATCGGGAATGAGGAAGAAGTTCCAGAAACTATACGAAATAAGGCCAATTTTGTGATTTAGTAGGTATTGACAATTAATAATTGACGTTTCTAATTTTCAATGACCTGCAAATATTTGTTTTGTCATTAAGTATAAATGAGTTACTATGGTGATACTTAATGCCCTAGGGCATAAAGTGGTACTTTAGCCCGCGTATCACAGATATAAAATGTGCTATGATAGGTTAGTAAGACCTAAAAAATTAAATGTTGAATTTGCCGTTCGGAATCATTTTGATTTTTAGAGGAGAGGAGAGAGATCTTCGTACATCACCGTGGTGACTTCAAGACTGTGATGTTTTTCATCGAATGTAAGCATGTATAAGTACATATTATACACTAACAAAATGATTAAATAACGCATACACGCATTAAAGACAATTCCATGTGAATTCAATATATTATAGTGGACTTCCAGATGGGAACTTCCCAGCTGACCGATTGATGTTCCTGGGACAATAGGCACTTTATGAAAAAGGTTTTAGCTTATTGGGAGTTATTGGATGACTCCAGTTATGATTCCTTGTCTAAACAAAAAACAGGGCCAGATTCGAGGATTTTGAAGAACTATACCAAAAGAAGAAACAGTCGTGTAGACAAGTTGCGGGAAAATAAATTTTGTTTTACCTTTTTTTTCATATCTATAGGTTCTAATACATAAAAATGTCCCCTCGTACATAGGTAGTTAATGTGTGACCAAGTGTGTGACGATGGCGTCTTTGTAACATTGGTAATTACCGACGCTATTACCTGTCCACCTAATTTAGCGCGATTTTTTGGAAAACCCAAAAAGATTAGTCGCATGTAAAACACGTGGAAGATTAAACATATAAAGTGTAAGAAAGCATTTAATCAGGTCAGGGACAGTGCAAACAAAGTTGTCAAGGTAGATAGTACCTAAAACATTGTTAACCTTGCCTTAATTTACCTATGATCAAAAGATTGTTTAACTTTTGTAAAAACCCGTATTTTCGCTCTTTCGATACCATCTAATTTGAGTGCTTAAGGTGCATACTTTAACGTTTTTCTTGCGGCAAAATTAAATACACGTGCGCCTAATGTTGTAGATGAATGAAGAGGATCTGCAATTAGCAAGAGCTTTGGTAGCGCACGAGGAAGAGAGGAGGGCTGTAAAGGCCGTCAATATTGATAGTGGATGTGTATCACTGGAAAATAATACGCCGCAGTCAAAATTGAAATCTTTTAGGTGAGTTGTAAGTAATATAAATAAATACTAATATAAATAAATAGCAACTTTAAATTATAGTTTCTTGTAGTTCTTAGCAAATGCCCGGGTAGCTCAGTCGGTAGAGCATTGGACTTTTAATCCAAGGGTCCAGGGTTCAAGTCCCTGCTCGGGCGGTTTATTTTTTTGCATTTAATTCGTCGCAAATGTCGAGCAATAAAAAGTAACTCTCACGAAATTTTTTCTATTTCAAATTTTATTAATAATCAAAGAATTAGTTTATGTGAATCGATTCCTTCATAGATTTGTAACCTTCGATAGCTCAGTTGGTAGAGCGGTGGACTGTAGTTGAAAGCACAAATTGATATCCATAGGTCGCTGGTTCAAATCCGGCTCGAAGGATTTTTTTTTTATTACACGCATGATTACACTTCATGGAATTATGACTTTCCAGTATTTTATCCCATTTTTGGGATTATAGTTCCACTACTGATTGTCAATCGTTATATAAATCGGTCGCTATCTCAGCAAAGCAAATGGTATTCCGACATCGCTTAGTCGTTACGAATTTACGATACCGACCATACGTTTTGTATAAAAATGTCAACACTTTTGTATTGTATTATTTTATTATCAGAAGAAAACGGAAAAAAAAAATTATCAAAAGAAAAAAAAATCGTGCACTGCCCGGGAATCGAACCCGGGTCGCAAGAATGGGAATCTTGCATGATACCACTACACCAGCAGTGCGCACTTTAATTGCATGACATCTCATACAATTCAATGCAGTGTTGGTCTTTCCAAATCCCAATGCATTTTTATTTTTAGACAGATTGGAAAACTCATAGTATTACCTTAGTGTAATTACACTATGGTATTACATACATATGATTCTGGGGTAAATACACAGGAGCTTGATTTTTAATCGGATAATGTTATTTTGTTACCCACAATGGAAAAACAGAAAAACACTCGAAATCAAAAGCGTGATAAAATCGCGATTAGCCGGAATGATTTTATCTTATGATTATATATTATATATATTATATAATATATTATATTATATATATGATTTATATTAATATTATGATTAAGATCGAGTAACAAAACTATATGAAAGATTGAGGTTTAAAATCGAGAAATAAAAAGTTTCCGGTACCGGGAATCGAACCCGAGCCTCCTGGGTGAGAGCCAGGTATCCTAGCCACTAGACCATACCGGATTGATACTACAACTTGCTTATTATACTGTACTAAAGAGCCGGAATAATTGCAATTATAAATAAAAGTATTATTATATTAAGAAAGCATTATATAATTATTTCCGAATATTAAATGAACAAATAAATGTTATTTATAATTACTGTATTTAACTATGTCACACAGAGAAACATATTCCTTAGTTGAAAACATACACTCATGGGCGATGGTGGTGTAATGGTCAGCATAGTTGCCTTCCAAGCAGTTGATCCGGGTTCGATTCCCGGCCATCGCACGTTTTTTTTTTAAATTCCGATCTAATATTTTTGAGAAGGGTCATGCGACAATTATTTTAGTCCAGTATCAAAGCACATAACAGTGCGTGATGAGTAATCACTCATCGGAATGAGTTACGTTCTAATTACACGACCAAACGATAGGTAGGTATGTGAGCTGACAAAAGATACAAAATAGGTATATTGCTTTTAATATTTTGTTCTGCAATTTTTAGCATTTTTGCGATAGAATTTAGTTTTTGGCCATTCAGTTAAATTGTTCTGTAGTGTGTGCGGCCAAATATTGTGATGTAATGAAAATCTCACTTGACCTCGACCTTTACCAAAAATAGGTAGAAGGCGTAAAATTTAGTTCTTTGTTCCTTGAACTTGAAATTGTTATGCACAAGTTGGCGGGCAATATGATGGTACACGGTAGTAGGTAGGTATAATTGGAAAAAATTTAAATTTGTCTGTTTACCTACATAAAAAGTGTATACCTACCTACATCCTAAATTCGCCCACGCTATTGTCAAAAAAATGTTGAACGCACAATAATATGCATTTATGTGGTAGTGACAAACTGTCTTGTATCCCGACTCTCCATATAAGAGGGAAGGACACGCTAGCTGGCGAGCATTCGGAAGATTATCGGCTCTTGCAGCTGGTAAACAAGCAGCAGTTTTTGGTACTAAACCCAGTATGTGCTATTACTGCCGCCAACCGGGCCATTGGATTAGAGACTGCAAGAAGCGAAAAGTCGCAAACTGATAAGATACGACGCAGCGCATACGATTTTCAGTAAGGGAATTTTTTTACGACGGCTCGCATTTGGAAAAACGACTTTCAATCCGGCTCATATCGTGCACACGGACAGACAGACAAAAAAATATAAACGACCTCCGGGATTCTTAATTAAGGAGTGGGCAAGTTTGTAAGTGGAAAGGACCAAGAATTACTGCAAATATAAATATAACCAATACATTAATTTGTGTAAATCGTGGCCTACCTAAATAGATAAAGTAGTCTGTATCCCTGCGTCATTGATGTGTGAATCAATTTCAGATAAGTTTTGTATAGCTTATAACACTTGTTACATGTTGCAGTTCTCTAACGTATGTCTGAAATCAATGAGGCAGGGACAAACTCCTGACTACAATTAATTGTATTTACCTCACATTTTTGGGTAAAAGGTGCTTTTTCAATTTGGTAGACTGCAGAAGTTGCCTCTGTAGTTTTGCTCTGCAGTACTGGGTGAATTTGAAATACGAAAAATGGCCCGGTGTCGCCCTCTACATGATGAAACAAAGCTAGTGCACTTCCAGTTGCCTACCCCCATGCAAATATAAATATAACCAACAAAACCAAGGCTGCCTTGAAACAAGAACTATGGAATGTTCAAGCAATTTTTAACAATCAGCTATTGCCAATTTGATGAGTGCTTTCCTTTTTAATTGGGAAAAGTTCCCTAATCGGCGTCGTCGTAATGATAAGTCAAGGACACAATTTCATCATTAGTTATTCGCACTGACCTCGCAATGGAATCATCATGGATCGGCTCTGATGTCGATTTATCCACATTACACAAGTGTCGACAGGCCGATAAATTGCAGTACAGACTGTCCTGCCTACATAACAACAATAAGAAGTACAGCAATGGCCTTTGTGATGTTACCGAAAAGGAGAGTTTCGAGGAGGACGAGGACTACTTCAGTCGAAGACGACGGGTCGGGACTTGGCCGTAAGTGACCCGGGATCTTATCTTTAAATTAGAGGAAATGACGCGTGATAATCTAAATATACACATTTCCGTAATTTAGTTTTATTTTGTTCATTTTCACACATTATTCTCTGTTTCTCATCGAGAAACACACCCTTTCAGTAGATGTCCGAGTAGGTATTTGTGACTCACTCTGTATAGTCTGATAGATAAGTGCTTTTCTCTAAGATACTTAACTTAATACCACTTTAATTAGATATCTTATCTGATGAGATGTCTATTAAAGAAAAATCTTCCGGCAGTAACCATAGAGACTTAGCATGCATAGGTGGTTTAATCTATTCCGTAATGGTAACTGTAATTTAATGTTGTTACAGGCGTACAAGATCATTAAATGCACCCTCGCCCGTACAGCAGTTTGGACCATGTGGCCGAATAATGAAAAATTCTACCATGGTCATGTAAGTACTTTGCACGGTTTTTAAGAAAATACCCTACGATTTTATATAGGATCTTTCCAAATTTTTAATCAAAATTACCAAATTGATGGAAAATCATGGAATTATTATTATTATTATTAATGGTGTGAGGACTAGGGCCTTAAGAAGGCCATGGTCATGGGTCACCTAAGTAATCCTCTGAGGATTTTTGCAACTTCCTTGACTTTTTTGGTAGTAGCTTTAGGCCATTGAAGAACCGGACAATTACTTTGGGGTTCTGTTACCTGTTAGGGCTTAACTTGTTCAGTGTTCTTACTGAAAAGATTATATCTGCGCCTTTATCCTATTTTCTTCACAAGGGTAGTGTTTTGAAGTTTTTATGAGCAGTGTCGGCCTTGTGATTCCAATCTCCGTTTTTGCTGTTTTTCAAAAATGCATGGCTAACGAGATATCTTGCGAGATATCTGATAAAAATGTTTTTTGTTATTTCTTTTGGTCGTTATTATTGCTTTAGAAAAACTACAAAGAATAAAGATGTAGATAATTCGAGAGATAATTATGTCTCTAAAAGCAAAACCAAATGCAAGACAAAAATATTTTTTCTCTTATGAAAGAGTCCTTTTTTGAAGGGTTGGTTACTGAAAAAGACAAAAATGGGTCATTCTGTATTTAATTACCTACAACTTTTTTGTTTATACTTTGTTTCTTAAGATTTGTGTTTTGAATGTGGAGCGAGAGATGCGTTGTTGGAGTATACTCTGTTCGAAAAAGTCAAAATATCAAATTTCATTTTCATTTTTTCTAGCTTAAACGGTCGGAAATGGACGGTTCCCGTTAGCACCTTCTATCTCACTTTTTTCGGAGAATCTGTTACTTATCAGAATTTCCAGCTGTAGGCTACTACTCTTTCTTATCTGTTATGGGGGCCATTTTGGATTTTTACGGACTGGGACAGAGGACAAAAAAAAGAAAAATAGTGACCTGTCACACTGTATACTTTTACATGAATTTACAAGAAAAATTTCAAAATCAAATTAAATTCATTTCTCAATAAAACATCCTCTCTAACTAGATCTTGCTGAATCAACATGGCTATGGTGGCGATTCATTCAAATGTCTCTTTTTTGTCCCCTATCTCATTCCATAACCATCCAATATGGCGTCCATAAGAAATAAGAAAGTATAGTAGCCTGTCACTTCTAGATCTAGCGCGTTATGGAAATTCTAATGAGAGATTCAGATTCTCCGAAAAAAAATGTGTCCATAGAAGGTGCTAACGGGAACCGTCCACTTCCGACCGTTCAAGCTAGGGAAAATGAACACGAAATTTCACATTTTCAATTTTTCGGTGATATCTCAGTTATTTTCAAAGATTTTTTAAAAAATTTAAATAGGTAGGTATGTTTTTTTTGTCACAAAAAGGGGCCACTACGCCCCCATTTAACTTACACTGTATCTCTCACCGTTACGGAGATCCCAATGGTGAGTCACGAGTTTGAACCACCCTGTACCTTTTTGTGTTATTATGTGATAAACAGTGCGTGCATTATTATTATTAGCCTAAATGTCTTTAGATAGGTAGCTGAAAGTACATTATATCTGAGTTTGATGTGATTGCTACTGTATCAATAAATAATACTAGTATATTAATGTGTCACATGCTAGATAGTTTACGAAAAATTTTGATAAAATAAAATGCAAATAAGTAAGTATAGTTTTAGGCGTTCTTTACCGACCTCCGTCTGCTCATTATACTTCTCTCCATGAACTTGAGGATATCTTATGCAATAGTGTATATCTGCCTGACGAAATGGTAGTAATGGGCGACCTTAATGTAAACTTTTTTAAAATTGATTTACCAAATCCAACGTACACAAAACCAATAAAAGTTGGAAACTGTTGGTTTCGACAGGATGGTGCACCCACGCACAACGCTATCGGACATATTTTCCATTTTCCAGGAAATTTGTCCCATAAGTATTCTCGCACAATTACAGCGTTGTGTGCGAGTGCGCCATTTTGTTGAAACCAACAGTTTCAAACTTTTGTTTTTTTTTGTTGTACATCGTTGTATTATGTATTTTTTTTACGGGTCATATAAAAAATAAAGTTTAGATGATTTCTCAGAAACGAAACGTTGTACTTAAAATATCTTAACGGTGTCTTGTATAGCTCAAAACGTGGCAATGAGAAAGTGGTATTTTATTTTTTTGTATCTATTCGAAATAACATCAGAAAAAAATAAAAACGAAATCTGCAAATGTCTGTATTTCTGTCATATCTTCGGCAGTAATTGGAATTGTCTGGTTTTGTTTAAAGCATGATAATAATTCTTTAATTGTATATTTTTTCTCTAATTTGACCATCGTCATATCTTCTTGATTTTGGAGATCTTCATGATAGGCATCCTTATCTTGGACCTTAACATATTATTTTAGCGCTCTGATAAAAATTTATCAGCGCCAACTTAGGGGCTATAGCTCAGGTTCACGATAAATAAGGTCCAGTAAAGCTGAGTCATATCCGATCGTTGATAAGGGGGGATTAGTAAATTCGAAGCGAGCGGAAAAAAATCATTCGTTTGGAGCCGTCGGAGAGAGCTCATTGCGGGCAAAATAAAGATTAATACGAGTTGGCTCGTCATAGAGCTCACGTCAAAATAACCGTGATTTTTAATTCGTTTTGGGAGCTCAAGTCAGAAAACTAAACCGTCCGCCATTCCAAATTGGAACGGTGGTCAATAATCAAATTGAAGAACCACGTGAATCATCGTGAATATAGAGGTGTTTTGGCAACTAAGTTAATCGGGAGTGTTCGGTGACCTTATTCAGAAGAGAGTGTCATAAAAAATTCTATATCATAAACTGTCTTAGTAATGCAAGTCTACGTTCGAAATTATTTACGTATAACTAAAGCTAAGATTTATAACAGTACGAACGGACTTTTCCGGCGCATAAATCAGTGTGCTAATAATTATGTTGAGAGACCATAATTCTGGTTAAATGCGGACAGTATAAGTAGTAGGATCATTTTCCGATCATTTTCATACGGCGAAGGAGTCGTAAATACTTAATATCCAGAAAATTTCATCAATAATTCTTTAGGAGATCCACATTTCGTTTCTATATTGTCAAGCTTTGTGGCACCATCGTTTCGAGAAGAGTTGTAGCGTTTTGTACCATAGGGACACCATTGATTATAGGAAACGCTATAATTAAGGTAACGTAAATTTTTTGATTTATATAAAAAAATAACAATCGGTTTTCTTTACGAAATTGCGTTACATTTAATTGACAGTAATCACAAAATTATTAAAGGAATCAATCTGAGCAGTTAAAAATCGCACAAATTCATTTAAAAATTAGGTGTTGGATTTTTAAAAAAATGCTCGCACACGTTTATCATAATTTTTTTAGATTTTGATACCAATTTTGATTTTTTAAATCGAAATAGATTTTTATTATGCGTAGAATTTGACACAGAATTCGAAAGTGGGTTTAAAACTTTTTTTTTAAACAACTTTGGTATCAAGATCTACTTTTTGACGTACCCTTTAGGGCAAAAATACGCTAGAAAAAAATTATGATAGACGTTTGATACTACTATTTGATAGGAAACTTTTTCTAAAGTCAAATAGTAACGAAACATGAGGCACAAATTGAAATAATGACAAAAATACTTTTACGCTTTGTCTAGTTAGCGATGCATTATTTTCAAAAAGTAAAAAGAATATTCACATAAGCTCCTAAAACTGAAATTGGCAGTATCGCAGTTTATACTCTTACATAAGAGATGAGATACAAGAAAAATTTCAAATTCAAATGTTTTACATTCATCCACTAGATTAGATTTTGAAATTTTTCTTGTAAATTTATGTGAAAGTATAGAGTGTGACACGTTATTATGTTTCTTTTTTGTTCTTTATCTCATTCAGTAAAAATCCAATATGGCGTCCACAAGAAATAAGAAAGTCGTAGCCTGTAACTTCTATATATAGCGTGCTATGGAAATTCTGATAACAGTTTCAGATTCTCCTTTAAAAAAAGTGCCTGAAAAATGCGCTAATGGGAAACGTCCATTCCCGACCGTTTAAGGTAGAAAGAATGAAGAAAAAATTTCAAAAAACTTTTTTAGTAATAAAACGAGGGGAGACTGTGTCCCCACTTAACCTGAACTACATATGTCACCGTTACGGAGATTCCAATGGTGAACCACGAATTTGAACCATTCTGTAGACTTGTAGGAATAATGTTGTCAAATATGCCTGCGGCTATCGCCTTTACAAACGTGAAAAATTTATTCACGCACAAATTTGCATACAATCCACAAAATCACGTAGTATTGAACGTTATTGGACTTTAACTCTTTTTCATAAGTATTCAGGAATAAAACATTTGGAAAATTCCAGAATATTCTCAAAAATATGTACCTACTTACTAAATGTTAATTCTGAGATATGAATAATCTTTTTATTGTGGATGACATTTTATTTGTATTGATAAACGCGCTACTTACTGCTTTTATTAACGCGCGAGATAGGGGGGATGTGATGTGGTTACAATTTGATTGTGGTTTCAGTCTTGATTACCATTGTTTTCGATAGCATGCATTGGACACTCAAAAAGTCGCGCGTTTTACTTGTAAAAATCAGAATTGTTGCTAGAGTGATTTGCGATTTTCACCATTACAAATGAAAGCTTAGCAGAAAATGTAAAATGGTGGCAAAAGGGGAGATTGTCATTTCACAAAGTTTTCAATTTCTACATTATGGGTATTTTCTTAGAAATGTGCGTACTTGTTCCGTGAATTATATACATTGTGTGTTTTAGGACCATTCAAGATCCAGCTAGTCAAAGGTTGACATGGTACAAACCACCACTAACCGTCCTAGTGATCAAAAAGGTGAAAGATCTGTCTGTTTATTCGCCATTCGTTCAACTCGTCGAATGGCTGATAGAGGTAATTTTTTTTTCTCGGCATTAAATTTAGGCAGTAAAACGGTTTTATTTACTCGTTGATCTGTTTATTGCACCCAGAGGTTGGAGGTTACATACCGCTCAAGGCTTTCACTTGTGCAGATCTCAATATTTTCATTAACAAATGCCCTTCAACACTTCTATTCTCGACAAATGTTTTTTAAGGTTTTCAAGAACATTTTTTAAACATGTTGACTGAAAATTTCTCAAGGAATTTCTAAGTTTACAAGAAAAGACGTTTTTTTAGAATGTTTTATTGCAAGAAATTCCTTAGCAAAAGGTTTGCAGTTTGTAGTTCAAAATTCCTAGAGCAACTAACGACAAATTTCAAAAAATAAATTTAAGAAAGTTCTGGACAGTTTTGAATGAGTAAGAAGAATCCTGAGGATTTTTCTTTAAAGGAAAAATATTTCTGAAGGAAAACTTTTTTTCCGCGATTTTTCAAATTTTTTGATGGCGATTTTTAAAAAGGTTTCGTACTGTCTACTATGATAACGAGTACTATCTTTGACTAGCCGTACACACGCTGCATATCAATGTAGTGTAAAATTGTTACAATCGCATCTTGCCATATGAAGTTTTTCAAATACTTTTGTTTTCCATGGACTAATGGAATTCCCCTTGAAACCTTCAGAGGGACTTTTATTACTAAAAAATATACCATTTTCAAGATTAAGCTGTAGCTTTTTTTTGATTATTTTTCATGAATTTTTAAGATGTATAACTTTGTACAGGGTGGCCAATCGTAGAGGCTTGCGGTAAAAAAATTTATTACTAAAACGGCCACGAGAAAAACCTGGAAAATATTTTTAAGTTTCTGCAATGGCCGCTAGGAGGCGTAACTGCAATCTGGAATCCAAAAAGTGATTTTTCTGTGAATTCCGCTATATTAACCTAACAAAAAAATGTCCGGTCTTTGAAGTTGACGATAATCTGAACTCGTTTTGTTTGGCAATTTTTCCTGTACCTCTAAAAATGAACTGGTGGGGGGTATTCAAAGGTTTCCGTAAAGAACACCCTGTATCTTCGAAACGACTGAGCCGATTTATACGATGGATAGATTCTCGGATACAGTACTTCGCATTTTTAATTGGCCACCCTGTACACATATTGTCTTACCAGCTTTCCTGGCTATATGTATGAGATCTTTGACCTAACTATTGTAGTAATGACGGAATTCTTGCTTAAATAAGAAACAATTCTAATCCTGACCACAAATTTATGATGTGTTATCGGCTATAGGAAAAGCACATGGTAGTATTTGTGGAAGCGGCCGTCATCGACGATACCCATCTCGATCAGTTTCCCAGTTTTAGCAACGTGAAAGACAAACTGATGACGTTTCGAGATGGCAAGGACGATCTCACCGACAAAATAGACTTCATTATTTGCATGGGCGGCGACGGTACCTTACTGTACGCGAGCCTTCTGTTTCAACAGTCGGTGCCGCCGATTATGGCCTTTCACCTGGGATCTCTAGGATTTCTGACGCCGTTCCGTTTTAACAACTTTCAAGATCAGGTCAACAACGTGCTCGAGGGAAACGCGGCGCTCACCTTGCGCAGCCGTTTGAGGTGTATAATTATTAAGAAAGGGGAGGTAGACGCGTCGGATAAAAACTCCAAAGAGAAAAAGGGGTCGACTAATCTTCTGGTTCTGAACGAGGTTGTCGTGGACAGAGGACCGTCACCTTATCTGTCAAACGTCGATCTATTCCTGGACGGAAAGCACATCACGAGCGTCCAAGGTGACGGTTTAATAGTTAGCACGCCGACCGGTAGCACTGCGTACGCTGTAGCGGCCGGGGCGTCGATGATACATCCGAGCGTGCCCGCGATAATGGTCACGCCAATTTGTCCACATTCGCTTAGTTTTAGGCCGATTGTCGTACCAGCCGGCGTTGAACTTAAGGTAGGTATTTGACACCTCAACTCCACCCTATAAAATTATTGCAGGTGTCTGTATCGCCCGACAGCCGAAATACTGCGTGGGTTTCGTTTGATGGCAGAAAGCGACAAGAGTTGCTGCATGGCGATAGGTATGGAATCTTTGAGACTCATTTGTAATTCAGTTGCTAATTAAGAGCTAAGTAGCTTATGCAGAATCACACTACCTATTCAAATTATTAAAGTTTTTTTGATACACTTAAAATAGACCATACGTCCATTTTTAAAAACATACAAGTTGCAGGATACAAATCTTCTATGTTCTATTCTTAAATATAGGTACAAGTCAATACATTGACTTGACTGACAGCTATGCAACCCGCCTTCCACCAATTTGACAGCAGTACATGCCAATAGAAATTTAATAGTTATTTTAGATACGTAGATTCCGTTTATTAACTATGAAACTCTTTTTAAAGTGGTTTTATAGGGTTTTGTCAGTTACTGAAATCTACTCATCTGCTATTGCTGTCAATTTCAAAATTTAAAAATATTCGCTCTTATGAGATACAGGGAAAATCAAAATATTGTTAATTTTAGAATTCTTAGTTAATAGAGATATAGAATAATTTTTATGACAAAAGTTTCTTTATAATGATTGTTGAATAATATGTTTTCAAAATGAGTATACGGGGCCTTGGACGCAACAATTATATCGTCAACATAAACGGCGATTAGTGTATGCTCCTCCTCCTGCTTGATGGAATCCCTATAATGCCTTGCGAAGTCTACAGATCATGTCACATTTTTTCCCTTTTACGTGTATGTCGCCTCGCTCGTCTTGTATGATAACTTCCAAAATTTCCTGTAAATGTTTCGGATTCGCCACAGTTTTACATGCCGCCCTAGGCTTTGCTCTACTTCGCCTATGCCTAAGTTCACCCACGCTTGTGGGTAGACTAAAAGAATTTTCTTGAAAAGGCTTCAACGTTCGTATTGTTGAGGATATTAAAAAAAATTTAACAGCAGCTACTTGCTTATAAACGTAAATATTCGAAATCATTTACGGCAACATGTGCTCATGCTATTAAAAATTGGGTTTGCGCATGCGCGAATTTCATTTTTTAAATATGCTACTGATATAACTTTAGAAGGTTATGTTATTTTAAATACATTTACAACTCTTGATTAAATTTATAGTTTACGCGTCACCACATCAATATACCCGGTACCTAGCATCTGCGCCCAAGATCAAATATCGGATTGGTTCGACTCGTTGGCCGAATGTCTGCATTGGAATGTCAGAAAACGCCAGAAGCACCTGGACGAACTGACAGATTTGACACATTCCAGTTCCAACGACACCCTCGACTCGTTGGAGCAAGCGGAGCTATTGGAGAAAGACGGTTAATCGTTAAGAAGAAAGAGAGTGTCTATTTTTATTATTTTTTCGTTGTGATTTTATTTGGGTGATAAAAAAAGGGAGGTGTTTTGTTTTTATTTTGTATTGTTGGTCTTTTGACTGTAAATTTTCGAAGTCTATCTGGTAACAACGAACTCAAGTACGTACAATCTCAAGAGGAAAGGGAAGCGAAACGCAATTTATATATCCACGACAATAGTTCGTGCCAATGTTATTTATTTATAGACCAATTTTTGTACATGTTCTTTTATAAAATATAGAAACTTTAAAATGTGTTGGAATTAAAAATATTTAATATACACATGAGATTTCATTGCATCAGCAACAGCGTGTAATTTCCTTGGTTTGCTGTATGACAACATAAATTATTCATAAATGATTGATATACAAAAAAATGGAAAAATTCGTCATTCAATATTTAGAAAACTTGGGAAATCTAGCATACCGTGTGCTGTCAGGATGCGCGGTGTCTGTTGTGTTACACAGAGAAGACCTACATCAAGTCTTGTTCAATGTTCCGTTTTGAAGAGTTACTTTTGCGCGATACGATCCCCGTGTAACACCGATCCACACATCCTGGCAGCACACGGATTTACTCGATTCCATAAGTTTTCTAAATATGGAATAACGAATTGCTCCATTTTTTTTGTATATTAACTATATGCATATATTTTATGTTGTCGTGCAACAAATTTGTTGCTATTTTTAAAAACAAAAGTTGCCTCCACGTAATGTCACACATAATAGTTATTTGTACAACTAGTTTTTTTCATGAATTTGCAGATTGATTAATGAGGGCGAAGCGAAAAGGAATAGAAGTTCGGTCCCTTTTATGGCGAAAGTCAGTGGTGAGAGGAAAAAGTTGATATTTTCTGAGGAATCCTTGGCAAGAATCAAATTTGCAAATATATTAACTGTTCCAAGTAATAGTAGTAAATGAGAAAGACAACTAGAATAATGGGAGATGGTCAACATAAACAAATTCCGTAACGGATAATAGAAGATGGTGCCTTCTGAAGTCTAGGTAATTGTCATAGAGCACATTTGTAAGTTTCTAATTAAATAATTGGAACTTATTCACTATTATAGTACAATGTACTTGCCAATTCAATTGCACAACTATATGTAAACCTAACAATTTTGTGCTGGTCACTTCCTGTAGTTTATGCGATTTAGAGTTAAAGTATAATTATTTCTATAATTAATTATAGGTAACATAAATTTTTGTTACATAAGTTTTCTAAAGATTTATCCCGTTAGTATCAGCAATGAATAATGATGTGTCATCTGCATACAGATACAGAACAGTTTGCTTTTTCGTGATCCAAGTGTAGTTGGAGATCGTTGATCAGTCATGTAAAAGAGGAAAAGGGCTGACCCTACCACAGGGACCCTTGAGATACATATCAACAACTGCATCTTGTGACGAATACAACTTTTTACTTTTTGTGTTATTTGATAGAGCATTTTTTCCAATTTCAAAAATGTAAATATCACAATTTTTTAATAATAAATGGCGCTATTAATTCGCAAAAACGCAAAAAGCTACGAACATACACTGCCCAAGACAAAGTTTGCCATGCAGAAAAGAAGATATTTTAACAACATCAAAAAATACTGATGTTTACATTTTTTAAATCCGAAAAAAATACTCTATATCAAACTGCACGTGCAAGGCCCCCCTCCCCTTTTTTAATTTATGTAATTTTACGTTAATTATGTATTCAAAAATTTCGCGACACCCTTATGAAATATTCACCCACTTTGAGAAACACTGCTCTAGACCCTATAATCTTTCAAACATGTTATTTTTCTGTCAATCTAAGCCCTAAAGCAAGTCGGTTCTGTGTTCTGTCAGTCTGTATGAATTTTCAGGCAGAAATAGTCCCAATATAGTCGCGTCAATGAACACATAAAACAGGCAGTCTTCGGAAGTCCTTAAGAACAGCTCTGATTTCGTTGATTTTTTTAATAATTTGGTTTTTTGTTTTATATAAAATCAGAAGCCTTTCAGGGGGAGAGGATAGTTATTTCTACTGTTAAAACAATATATGTATTTCCTTTGTATGTATAGGTAGAACATTTTTTTTAAGAATTAAAAAAAGTGCTATTTATTAGCGTTTTGTCTGCCTGTCCGTCCGGACCCACTGTTGCGATTTTTAACTACTTTTAGAGGAATTGTCCTAGAGTCCTGGAATTTTTTGCAAGCGGTAGCATATCCCTTGAAGTATAGTAAATGAAACGTGCATAACTTCTATATTACATGACCAATTTGTATCAAATTTTGCATACGCATCCCTCTAGTGACACCAAGTAAAACTTATGCAAAGGGGGGGGGGGGGGATAAACAGACGTTCTACCCTTCGTGGTACTCTAATAAAAGGTCTCATCGAAGTGAACTGGTTTCTAAACTATAACTTTCCTACTATACGAGACTTCTTTTTGAGAAGATGTGTTTGGGGGGGGGGGGGGAAGGTGTTAGGATTGCTTTTATCTTTCATGGTATTCTAATTAAGGATCTCAACAAAATTTCTACCAACATGACAAGTAAATAATAATAGATGATCTTCCTTAGCTATCTGCTAATCACGAAATATAATTTCTTCTATTATGCGTATTTTAATTTTTTCAGGATTTCTCTACCATTCACACCTCTGCAGAAATATTAGATTTCATAAAATGTACCTAACGATATAACTAGGAAAGACAGATTGAAGTCTTTGTTACTTAAATATACTTAAAGATCATCTGACAAAGTTACTTACAAATCATACTTTGTATAGTACTTAGAAACGATTGGATTTATTGCTATAAACTCGTGAAAACACAATAAGTAGGTATAGAGTTAATAATCAATTGTCTGACAATAAAATAAAATAAAGTTGTTGAAGGCTTCCTGTATTTAAGAAAAGTTTAAGTTATTGTATAGCACCTATGGTATAATAATTATGTCATAAATTAGTAAGGTCGGCGATTTTTTATGTACCTAACCAATTGGAATTGGTGCTACTTGAACGTGAACATAAATATACAAAGAAATTTCGAGACCAAACGAGAGTCTAGATCGAGACTCTCGCCGAGGCTCATGATCTCGAAACCATTTAAAAACAAGTATAAATTGCACAACTCTTGTGCAGATAAAGCGCATTTTTTTTTAACCGAAATAGCTTTTGTTTTGGCATCATCAATGGATATATATTTTTTGCAGACGTCTCAATCGCCCTTTGTGAGTACCTACCTACCCTCTTCCGACAATTCGTTCTTGAGGTATAAGGGAATATACCCGATAACGATAAGAGGTCGGGGAGGAGGGCTATGGTTGGTAGAAATTAATTCCTTTCGTTGAGACCTTTCATTAGAGTACCATGAAGGGTAGAACATGTGTTCCCCCCCTCTCCCCAATTTTCTAGAGTTTAACTTGGCACCACTATAAAGGCATGCGTATGCAAAATCTGAGACCATGGTTGTCGTATGTAAAAGTTATGCACGTTTTACTTTCAAAAACATCTCTGTAAATAATTCGTGAGGGGGCCCCCCTTTTAGACAGCGAAATTTGATGGCCGTCTGGCACCCCTTCAAGGTATAGGCTACCTCTAAGGCTACCTACTGCAAAAAATTCGAGGACTCTATATGCTAGGACCATTCCCCTAGAAGTAGTTCGAAACGGCAAAAGTGGGTCCGGACGGACAAAACGCAAACAATGGCCCATATGAATACAAGTAAGCAAATGCTTATACTTGCAAAATTTAAAGTAAATACTCGTAAGTGCCCCTTTATACTGGTTTGTTTAGCAGCGCTGCACTGCGTCCTGTCCTGCTGCTTAGCAGCGCTGCTAAGTCGCCCAGTGCGAAGGAGCACTTACGAGTATTTACTTTGAATTTTGTAAGTAGGTATAAGCATTTGCTTACTTTTATTCATATGGGCCAATAGCACATTTTTTTTATTCTTAAAAAATGGGCTAAAAAGAATCATCCAAATCGGAGCTGTTTCCGAAGACTTTCAGAGAAAAACCTTCATTGACGCAACTTCAGGATTTCTAAATTTCCGAAAAGACCTAAAATAATCGAGTCACTACGGGAGTGCCGTAAACGAAAAAATTAGGCCCTTACTCATCACATAAGCCTATACCTATTTGCCCCTAAATGGCTCTTTGATTATAGTTCTAGCCACAGACCATCGTTCTAGCATTCTATTCTAGAATCTAGCTAGACTATAGTTAAAGCCAGAGGCTTCAAACAGCTGTTCTATCAGCTGATGTTGATGCATGCCCTTAACCGTTGAGTGAACTTAACCGTTGAGTGAATTAACCTTTATCGAAAAAATGAAGGTCATTAATGTTAATCACACATTGGTTAAATTCAATGTAATTATGTACCTACGTACATATTTCAAATTTAGATTAGATTATTAGTAGATTTTTGGCAGACTACGGTCATGTCCTTGACTGTAGAAATCCTTCCATTTAATTAATTTAACACTGTCAGTTGAATTAAATTAATAATAACACAGATTTAAGAGTGTTTAAATCTGTAATAATAGTAATTTTTGTTACTATATTACTAAGTATAGGTACTATCGAGTATCGATACAATTTGTACACAATAAATGTTGTCATTTAGTAAGGATAAGAAGTACCTAATCAGTGTGATACTGATAATGATTTCTCAAGTGAAAGTTGCCTTGTGCAGGTCATAATGACTGCACATTATTAAATTAATTACTGTACAGCACACTCCGTCCCACTTCACTTGCACCTGAACCTCTGAAGTGGATATTGAATTGTCATTGAACTCTGTGAATCATAACTCAACGTACGCAATGTGCACTCCTGCAGTTAAGGTAATTAAACAAAAATCAAAACCCAAACGTAATCTCCCGATTTTAGCAAAGGCCCAATAGGACCACCTGCAAAAAAATCAAAAGCCTTCTTTTGGAAGTGTTCGTCTTCGTTCGAATATACTTGGATAGACTGATCGACTTTGTTTTCGGCTGCTACTACAAATCGCGCGTGCAGATCGTACCTAAGCCCTCGAACCCGATAGTAATCGAATCTGCGACCGCCTTGGCGAAGCGAATTCGCGAACAAAACCTCACGTCCGAGGCCCTAGTACGTGCTTGCATCGATCGGATCAAGCAGGTCAATCCGCTTATTAACGCTGTGGTCGATGAGCGGTTCGAGGATGCACTCGCCGAGGCCAAGCAGCTCGACGAGCGAATCAGGAATGGTGCAGTTAGTTCGGAGGAATTTGCAGAGAAGCCATTTTTGGGTATGTCCCAATATGCAAAAATTATCAACAGGTTTGCTGCATTTGTTTGTGCTAGTATAATGTGCTGGCACCAATGTTACCTTTTCGTATTGGTTTTAGAGGGGGCTGCATCTTGGCTTCCTCTGAAACTGGAATATCTATGCTCGATCAAGGGCACGTATAGAAGCGCTAATGTTATGCTCAAATGCATTGCCTTTTCAACGCATTTTAGGCGCTATTATGGCCCCTTTCCCTTTCCTTCTGTATAAGGTATTGACTACTCCTATACAGCTTTTTAATATATTTAGTTTGTTCTTTTAAAATTCGGTAGCTTATAGCATAGCTCTGGTACCAGGGTCAAGAATAATCTTGGCGATTAATGTGCGCATGCGCAATACCTACTTTCTGATTTATTAATATAATTTGTTGAAAATAGTAAAGATAAACATATCGCATATAGTAAAAATTAAATGTGCGCAGACTGAGCAATGCCAGCTTTCTTATTCATGGAGAGATTTCTTTGAAATTTTAACCATAGCGATGCTTCTAGTAAAGAAAAACCTAGTTTACATAGATGAAACCTGCTTTTTTCATTTTTGAATTTTTGACAAGGGACAGCTAAATAGCCCTTTAATAAGCTCCAAATTATTAATTTTAAAAGAGCGACTTCATTACAATAAAATTGTTGTTTGGGTAGGATAATGTAACATGGTCCATGGATGCCTTGAAAAGATTGTAGAAAAATGGAACATTTTACAGGAAGCAAAGAAAACGGATAGAAGAATTGCACGAACTTTTCCTACATGAAACACGTCATATAAGATGGAGAAATGCAACACCTGTATATTTTTTAACTTAACTCCTCGCTTAACTCGTCAAGCAATAATTTTTTCAAAATTTACCTAAAATTAACACCTGATGGCCCGTGTGGTGCAGTTGAGTTTCAACTCAACTGCGGTACTATGGGTCCCTGGTTCGAATCCGGGTTCGGGCGGGAATATTTGTAAATGTGTAGTGAGTTGGGTTGGTAGAGCAGCCTTGGCTGAAACCACGCCCACTCAAAAATAAAGGTCAAAAATAATATAAAAAATAATTCTTGGGCACGACAAGAAAAATCTGACATGGAAACTATCCGGGTTCGAATAAACACACAATGGGGGTTTACAGTATAGTTGAATTCCGCAGTTCTAATTTAATAAGCGTGTACCTGAAACCATAAAACTTTTTTGGACAGTAAATGTTTATTTAAAAATAGAGGCTGATTAGCAAAAAAAATAATGAACATGTGCGGTTTTAAAGGTTTATTCAAAACGATATGATTGTGGCGGGCTCTGTGACGTAATAAGCCCGACCAATCAGCTCCTAGAACCATTCAGATGACATAACGACTTGGCAATATTGCAGGAGAATGGCATTTATAACTTGCGTCATCTGTCACAGGCACTTGTCACTTTCGTGCTAGATGCGGTTAAACATCCCTCTCAAAACGTCAAATGTGACAAACGGTAGACCCTCGCGTAAGGTTGCCAGGTCACTTCTACGTGATTGGTTGTAGGTTTGTGACGTATTTAGTCCTGAAGCGTTTCAAATTCGGACTAAAAACACAGCTTTTCAATAATTTATTTTGAGTTTATTTTACTCGGAAATAAAAATTGAGGACACATGGGTACATTTTTAATGTACTTTGTGGATCAGAAATAAAAAATGAAGGCGGGATGACCCCATTAATTGATTGAATAACAAACATTATAACAAAATCCCTAAAAAAAATAAAAGCTTACAAAACTTGTTTGTACATATTACCCCGCAGCAGTCGTTCAACAGACATAAATCTGTGGCTTGTGGACGGTGTAAACAAAATCAAAAAAGGAAACAAAAACATATGGGATATTGCGAAAATTACAGTAGTCGCAGTAGACAGATGCTAATCCGGACGCGCTAATGTCAGAATGATATGTGCGTACATATACATCTTTGTTTGCTTAAAAGTTTTCTTCATGTGCATTTTACGTATGTAGAGGAAGTACAATAAGAGTTGCAAACAAATAGGATAAACTTTAAAGAAAATTAAATAAACAGGTTGGATTGCCATTGCGCAAATAGGAAAAAAAAGGCTCGAAAAGCGACCAGAAAATTTGTGCCATGACTTTTTTAACGAAGGTATTACCTCTATGTTCACGTTTAGTTATTATATATTTCATTCATGAGAATTTATGCTGTTATTGTATTAAACAAATTTATAAAATGTGTCTGAAGTTGTTAACGTACATTCACACACTTTTAGCCTACTATTTAATAATTTAGAAACACTTCTTGCATTTAATTGTCCCAATTTTAGAGTTTGCACTGTACTCGGTTATACCGTATACATAGACAGCGCGTTTATTATAAGAGATATAAACAAATTTAAATACAACAGGGGGGGGGTTGTAAATCGCCAGAAAAAAACAAATGAATATCGCAAAGTTGATAAATTTTTAATAGAACGCCTTGTATATTTTTCAAAAATTTAATAGATCTTTTCTTTCTGATTTCAAAAATATATTTGTTGACTTTTTTTTTAATATAAGATAAACAAAAAAATTTTTTGTTGTAATACAGGGTGATTGATAATATGCGGCAAAAATTAAAAAGGTAATTCAGATGGTCTATTCTAAGCACATTTTATCCTTTGATGATTTTTGAAACTGTGCTTTATTGCGAAAATATATGGCAAAACAAATCATACGCCATAGCCCATCAGAACCTGTCTGCTGACATGGCCCTCAGCGCCGCCTAACTGTCACTGCGTATGTAGACTAGGGGGAAACAAGTACCATTTTTGGTGTACCTACACCAAAAATTCAAATTCAAATTAATTCACGTTAGTTCAAATTAATTAACGTTGATTCAAATTAATTCACACGAATTCACATTAATTCACGCTAATTCAAGTTAATTCAAATTAATTCACGTTAATTCAAATGAATTCACGTTATATCAAATGAATTCACGTTAATTCAAATTAATTCACGTTAATTCAAAATAATCTATACAATTTCTGAGGGGGAAGCATATTGAGATCCCATGAGCTACAATGGGGTCGCAAATTTGGACCAAATAACATTAAGGAAATTTCATTACATTGGGAGATCGACTGCATCTAGGATTGCATTATTAACGATCCTCGAGATCGTTTACAATTTTGTAATATTTTTGTAATATAAAATAAACAAAAAAAATTTTGTTGTAATGTAATACAGGGTGTTTGTTAAACATGCGGCAAAAATTAAAAAGGTAATTCAGATGCTCTATTCTAAGCACATTTTATCCTTTGATGATTTTTGAAACTGTGCTTTGTTGCGAAGATATATGGCAAAACATTTTTCAACAATAATATCAATTTATAACTAAAAATTATCATTTCGTAATCTATGGCTACCTCCAGCTTGGATGCAATCATCCAATCTTCTCCACATCGACTCCCGGACTCTTTCAAAAAGGCCAGGGTCATTTCTTATTGAGTTACACCCAGCAGTTATTTGATCTCTTAAATCTTTCGCTGGTCTAGTGTAAACTAATGATTCTAGATAGTCCCATATGAAATAAACCAAGGGATTTAAGTCCGGAATCAAGCAGGTAACAAGTGAGGTTTACCTCGACCAATGCAGCGAACTTCGGAATGTTGCTAAGATAACAATTCGTATTCGTATATCTTTGCAACAAAGTGTATTTTTCAAAAATCAGCAAAGTATATATAATATAATAACCCTAGAATAGTAAAAAGAATAACCTCTTTATTTTTTGTAACAAACACCCTGTATAAGCCAACTATTTCTACCTTTTCTCCTTCTGTTTAACCCATGTTATAGATGGAATGGAATAAAATAACAGCAAAATAAATAACCAAGTATTTATGTGCTCAAATCATTTGTTTTGTCATGGCAACTAAGTACGATTTGTGTGGGACTGTGGCGTGGTAGCGCGACTGCGGTACTAAGAGTCCCTGGTTCGACTCCGGGTTCGGGCATGGATATTTGTAAATGTATAGCGGGTTGGGTTTCTAGAGCAGCTTTGGCTGAAACCCCGCCCACTGAAAAATAAAGTCAAAAAATAAATAACATAAATTATAAATGCAAATTTTTCAAAAACGGCTATTCAGTATATGCGACAGATTCATAACTAGAATGAAGAAACAGGGGTGCATTTCAGTACACCACTTCTAAGTGTCCTTTGTGAACATCAAGGTCCCAATTTTAGGGGAGGTTTTATGAAAATTGGACCTTTCCTCTGAGGTGACATGTATGTATTCATTTTCCGTTTCAGGGGTACCATTCAGTACAAAGGAAAGCTCAGCATGTAAGGGAATGAGGAGTACGTATGGGCTTGTGTGCCGCAAGGACAAACGCGCCGAGGAAGACGCAGAGGCAGTGCGCTTAGTGAAGAATGCTGGTGGAATTTTGATCGGTTCGGTTATTATTTAAATAACTCATACAGTCTGATATCTAGTCCGTTTTAGCTATCACGAACATACCAGTTTTGAACATGTGGCAGGAGACCGACAATCGGGTTTACGGTCGAACGAATAATCCGTACAATACCACCAGAGATGTAGGTGGGTCGTCCGGTGGGGAGGGCGCAATTATTGCCGCCTGCGGTGTACCGTTCGGAATAGGTAAGCCAGATAATTCAAAAATGTGGCAAATGAAATGTAAAGGTAAAATGAATAGACCATTTGAAAAGACTTGATCTGTATGTCCCTTGATTTCTTCAGAGTTCAGAATTTAAGGCTACGTTCAGACACGGCGATAATCATCATGAAAATGTTCCAAAATGATCCGCGTGATCATCCCGCGATTATTGCCGTGTCTGAACGCAGCCTTAAGGTTCTGTCAAACAATCTGTTAATTTTTTAAGGGCTTGTTTAAGGTTCCAGGCCCTTCTCTATCACCATAAATACAAGTCCTAGGGTTCAATTCAATTGGCTGTCTAAGGGAGTCTTCCATCTGGCCCAGACCTTTTACGCGTCCCCTGTAAACCCAAGATTCTTATGAGGCATTCTGCCTCCGGAGTGCCCGATAGGATTCCTCATCGACGCTAAATGCAAGGAGGACTCAACCAGGCTCCTTTGTGGAAGAATATCATCCATAGAGCCTATGGAGAAGAATGCCTCATCAGAATCTTGGATTTTGCCTCTGAAGGCGCTTCGAGCTGTCTCATCTGGTAGCCTGTATAACACAGCCATCACCCTAGGGACGTGCCTCTGCACTACTCAAGATCTAAGTTATCCAAGAACTGCAAATAATGATCTAAGGAACCCTTGTTGCAAGCCTTTTTCCTCTTCGCTCATTTGCCACATTTTCTCGAAATTACGAGCACATCTATTACACTAGATTTGTTTAGGTACCGACATCGGCGGTTCTATACGCATACCCGCCTTTAAATGTGGCATCTTCGGGCACAAACCAACGGGTGAACTTATACAAACCAGAGGTAACACTGTCCACCACAAATGCAGACGGCGTGCTAATTGAATATTTAGGTCTGACCTACAGAACTGGAAAGGAGCCGTCTACGATAATGAGTGCCGGTACCTTAACACGAAGCAGCTCCGATATAATTCCGTTCCTTAAGGTCCTCCTCGACAAAAATGTAAATAGACTTCAGCTTGACAAGCAAGTGAACGTTAAGGATTTGAAGGTACACTATATGCTCAGTTCCGGGGATTCAAAAATGAGCTTACTTACAAGGGAAATGACGGCAGCTATCTTAAAGTGAGTGCAACATGGTTTTTGTCATTTTTGGACAAAATGCTCTGTCATTTCTCAGCTTTCAATAAACAAACTAAATCCTTTGCAGAGTTGTCAAGCACTTTGAAGTGGATTTGAAAGCATCACCGAAAAAGCTGATCGTACCCGAGCTCAAATACGGAATGGCGTTGTGGAGATACTGGCTCACCCAAGAAGCGAACGCCAATTTCGCTCGAGATTTGACCGATCGAAAGGGCCAGGTTCGTCGTCTACTCTTCTTTAAATAGCGCATCTCCATTACTCCCTTTAGGTATCTCCAATTTGGGAGGTGTTAAAGTGGGTATTCCAATGCAGCGAATTTAACAGCGGCGCCATTTTCAATCTGATAGGCACATATTTACCGTTAATGAACGAGAAAAAAGCACGCGATCTCACAAAACAACTTAAGGATTCGCTTATGGTAAATATTGCAGTTGTTAAACGGAGGCTCAGTGATCGGTTTCAGGACGCGCTGGGTGATAACGGAGTGTTGATCTACCCATCTGCGCCGTGGTCGGCGAGGTACCACAACACATCACTGTTGCGTCCATATAATTTTGGATATTTCGCCGTGTGGAACTTGCTGAAGTTTCCGGTAACACAAGTGCCACTAGGTTTGGATTCCGAAGGCCTGCCTATTGGTGTTCAAGTGGTGGCAGCTCCTTATCAAGATCACCTGTGTATTGCTGTCGCTAGAGAGTTGGAGTCTGCATTTGGTGGTTTTGTGCCGCCTTTTAGCTCTTAAAACATTTTATATACGTGACTTTCTGAGGGGAATAAAAATTTTTATACTGGTGCAACATCCATCTTTTGTAACGACGCTATATGTTAATGAACCCTTTCTATACCTACAGTTGACCAAATGAAGAAACAAGTCAATGGGGTGCTATCTTAAGAACTTCAGAAATAAACATCTACAACGATGCTGTAAATACAACACATAAGGCAATGGTCTTTTTAATGATATTCTGAAAATGGAACTGTTGCTGTGCTACTGTAACCATCGACATGGCGAACTTCCTTCGACAGTATATACTTGACTTCAGCACCTATAATAATGATGGGTCACCCGGTATGTGTGAGTTTCAATTTTCTTTTGGCGTAAAATTTTTGTTTAAATAATCGTTTCTATTTTTCTTTATGTAATTGTAAAATACTAAATTTATTGTTTTGTGTTATCTCCTGTCATTACGATAAGAACGTTATCGCGGCGTAGGCTAATTAGTCTCAGGATAAGCACGTGTTATCGTAGATGTTTTTTTGTGGCAGTGAACACTGGTGTTTAATTTATTCGAAGACACAGTTGAAAGTGGAACGGAAAGGGATTTGTTGTAATCGATTTTTTAAAAACAAACTGCTTATTTTCTGATTGGTTTCCAACATATCCACTCAAAACAATAAGATATTCTCTCATTTTATTACCTTCAGGAAAATTAAAAATACAGTCTTGCTAAGCTACGCAAAAAAATATATGCGTAATAATTCAAGAGGTAACAACGTACAACAACAAATAAATTCTAAAATAATCTTACCGAGATTTAATAAAATTTGTAAATATCAATAGTTTTCTTTTTTATCACCATATAATATATATATTTTCTTATCGTACAATTACTTTTTCTCAGATTAAAATTAACAAATATATATTTTTCTTCAATTCAATTAGGCAGCGAGTGTGAAAAAATTGGCAAGTTTTGTATTCCATGCTTATATTCGACGGTAAACTTAGAAATGATAACAGTGTTTACAAAGTAAAATAAAAAACAAAACAATAAATAATCGAGTACACTGATCGGCGACGTTAATCTTAGATATGACACAATTGAAATTACCGATCTTTATTAGGGGTCAATGACAGTGGTACTACCCCCCGTTTTGCTTCAACTGTTGCTGCTGTTGCATCTGCAGTTTGACTTTCAAGGTCATTTTTTCTTCCCTAATATCCGCCAGCTCCTGACTCAATTCCTGACAAAGCCTCAGCAAGACTGTATTTTGTTCTTGTAATTTATGAAACAGTTCCCATTTAGACTGGTCGAGGGGTTGTTGCGCCTCGGGGCTGCCTCTACTTTTCGGCTTTCGGTACACCTCGAACGCGCCGTGCCTCTGGGGCGCGTCCACAAAATCGCTATTCTCTGGCACCGAAAACTGCGCGAACAGCTTTTTTCGCTCCGCCTCGTAAACGTCACCCGGAAACACGCCTTCGGAGACGTTTTCGTACTTTTCGCTCTGCTCGAATTGTTCGAAGTTGGCGAACTGAGGATTCTCGCGGTCGGCCAGGCGCGCGAGCAGTTTCTTGTTGGACGACTGCACGCTCGGGCTGACGCGCGGCGGTACCGACGGCGGGGCGCCCAAGTGGTTTTTGTTTAAACGATTTAGGTCTAAGGAGGAACTTCGGCCGTGTGTTTTAAAGGGTCGGGGCGGCGGAGGTGGTGGCTTTTCCTTTTTGGGAGGAGGGAAAACGGGTAAGCTCACCGGACCTTCCTCGATCGAGGATTGGGAGGTGACGGGAGGAGGGGGGATCGCACCGGGACCCGGCACGCTTATCTTTTTTGGTTGTGGTCGTTGAATGCCTCTAATATCGTTTGCTTGGCCTAAATTTTGTGGTAATAGATTATTCTGGTGGTGAATATCTAAGAATTTGTGCGGGCTTGATGGTTCAGTTTCTTGCTGGTCTTCCGGCTGAATGTTTGTACATTCGGGCGTTAGTCGCAAGGGGACTGGATGTAAAATTTTGGGGTCCTTTTCAACGGCTCCCTTCTGGAAGTCAAAATTGACAGGTTTTGGACCAGGTGATGAGATACTACTTGTAGGGCTGTCGACAAATTTCGTCCACTCTTTTGAGGTGTCTTTAGTTTGAGGGGATAGGATTGGTTCCGTTTCGGGACTCATAGAGCGAGATCTTTCGGCACTGGGTAGCAGTTGTGGTGGTAGCACTTCGGGTAGTTCAATATGATTGCGCCGAAGCACTACCAAATGCATTGCGGTCAAAAACTCGGTCAGGCTTAAAGCCCCGTCCTTTGTGACATCCGCCAGTTGCCAAATTTTTCTCAATTCCTGAACAGGCAGACGAGACTTTTCGAAAAAGAGACGCGCTATTGAACCTGCAAGTAGAGCATTGCTGTCTGGTTGAAGTGAACGAAACTGGGCTGTATAATATTCTCTTTGTTCTCTTGTAATTGTCCACACTTCATTTGAGATTTCCGTATCATCTTCACTGCTATGTCGATCTGATGATTCCTCTTCGGTGCCTAAAACAACATATCAAAACACATACACAATATAATGCGGAGGGGCGATTCGTAAATTAAAGTCCGCCCCTTATACATTGCGCGTCAAGAATCTTTTAATATCTTTATAAGAGACTTCTAATCATCCTCTGAGGGTTCCTTCTTAAACCAAGAGGAACCTATATCTATACCAAGACCCTAAGACCTCCTCGTGAGTTATTGTGCTCACATACAGAGGGACAAATTTTGCGGACATTTGCCATCTGGTGTTAAAATGTGAAGTACCTATGCGTCTGATATGATAGTGTTTACATATTTAATATTAATATGTGCTTTTGAAAAACATGCCCTCATCTCATTTTCCAGGGACCTAAAAACCTTTCTCTTCTCTTTGCTGAAGTGGCTACTTCTTATCGCTTGATAACTATAATGTTTTGTATGGGAATATGTAAAATCATCTCATGCGTAACGCTACAGAATATAGAGTACGATTCTACAGTGATATTTATTAAGCGAAGTAGACATAGGGATTTATGTGTATTGTTTTTCTCCTATGTCTACCTTAGATTAGACCATATAGTACATGGACTGCTATTAGCCCTATGCTATCAATACCAAATGGGTGGTCACGGATAGAGGGCACCGTAGTCGTGGGTGAGTGAATCGCTTGATTAGTGTTTGTTTACAATGAACATATACATAAATATTTCATAAACCGTAACTCGTACATATCCGTATCGTTTCCGTAAATTTACTTCGCTGTTTACAATAAACCAAAGATCATACTATATGTATTATGATCTTTGACCATACGTAACTTTGAAACATTTTCAACCTCTGCGACTATGCGCAAGACTTACATGTCGCTTACGTATGCGTACGTACAAATTACGTTCATTGTAAACACATTCGTATGTTTCTACACAGTTCAACTTTGCGAAATTTTTACGTTTTATGTATTTCTTACGTATACGTTCATTGTAAACAAGCACTTATCCTCTATACGTCCACAAATAAGAATAGGTTTGGTTTTTTGGCATATCTAGGCGATTAATAGGGGTTTACAGTATAGTTGAATTCCGTAGTTCTAATTTAATAAGCGTATACCTGAAACCATAAAACAATTTTTTAGACAGTAAAAGTTTATTTAAAAATAGTGGCCGATTAGAAAAAAAACAATGAGCATATGCGGTATTAGGGGTTTATTCAAAACGAGATGATTGTGGTGGGCTCTGTGACGTAATAAGCCCGACCAATCAGCTGCTAGGCCTAGAACCATTCAGATGACACACGACTTGGCAATATTGCAGGAGAATGTCATTTGTAACTTGCGTCACCTGTCACAGGCACTTATCACTTGTCGCTCACTTTCGCGTTAAGCCTAATTTACATTTACTGGCGGAAGTACTGTCGGCCAGTAAACTTGCCACGTGTAAATGCGCGGAAAGTGTCAGTTAAGTAGAAATAGGGTAGCAAGTTTACTGGCAGAAAGTACTTTCGGCCAGTAAACTTGCCAAATGTAAATTAGGCTTTAGATGCAGTTAAATCTGCCTTTTAAAACGTCAAATCCGACAAACGTCAGACCCTCGCGCAAGGTTGCCGGCTCACTTCTACGTGATTGGTTGCAGGTTTGTGACGTATTTAGACTGAAGCGTTTCAAATTCGGACTAAAAACACAGCTGTTCAATAATTTATTTTGGGTTTATTTTACTCGCAAATAAAAATTGAGGACACACGGGTCTTTTTATTTTTATTGTACTTTGTAGATCAGAAATAAAAAATGAAGCCCCTATTAATTGACGTTTATTAATTTATAGGTTGACAGTCTCAAATCGTGTCTAATCGGACAACTTCGGACAGACTCGTTTACCCAGGCGATGTCATTGACCTCAACCTATTCTCAAACTTTAAATGTGTGAGATCTCCGGCTTGCCCGACATACGAAAGCGCGAGATCGGATCTGGAGTGCCAAGTAGGCAATTTGCCAATTGAACCAAACGTGAAGTTAAAGTGCCCAAATCCACGCTCATTAGAAATCAGAAAAGGCGTTGGTAAGCAGGACGGTGACCATGGTAGGCGGAATCCGCTAAGGCGTGTGGAACAACTCACCTGACGAAGTTATCAGTTCTAAAAATGGATGGCGTTTAAACGTCGTGTTTATACTTCGCCATCGGTGGCATGGGCATGGGGGGGTCGGGACGGTGGGCGCGGAAGGACCGGGAGCGAGGTCTTCTGGAGCCGCAGATCTCGGTAGTGGTCACAAACACTTCAGCGAGCACCTGGAGGTCTGACGTGGAGAAGGGTGTCGTGTGAACAGCAGTTGCACACGTTCGAAAAAAACAGAACTTTTAAATCGGTCAAAAAATGTGACCTGTGTAGGCAGAAATGCGAATGACGGCTCAAAATGTCGAGTTTTTTTCGATCTTGTTTTGCCATCACTCAAAAACCACTTGTGCGATTCCGATCAAATTTATACAGTAGATGGGTCTAACGAGCTGACCGAATATTGGCCCGATAGCTGCATGGATTGAGAAGATATTTTTTTTTTCGAAAAAAAAACATCACTTCACTAATAAATTTTTTTCGAAAAAACTGTCGACAAAATTCAGGTAACCGAAAGTAACGGCCCCAATCGGAAGACATTTGGGACGTATTGGCTTTAAAACTGTTCGAATCGGCCGATAAATGCGACCTGTGGAGCAGAGCAGGGTCGAGCGTTCTAAATAACCGCTCGAGCGACGAGCGCTCATGTTCTCAAAAATGCTCGCGAGCATCGAGTTGTTTTGCAAAGCGAAACCGCTTGCGAGTCCCGAGCGGTTTATTGCGAGCGCTCGGGAAAAGTGCTCGTGAGCGGAACAAACGCTCCATTAGCGCTTGAGGGTTAAAAGCGCTCACGAACAAAAAAAAACCGCTCAGGAGCGGAAAAAGCGCTCGCGAGCGAAAAAAGAGCTTTGCGAGCGAGAACAAAAAACGATCATGAGCGGAAAAAGTGCTCGGGAGCGGAACAAGAGCTTGCGAGCGGAAAAAACCGCCCCCGGGCAGAGATCGACCGCCGAGCAGTTTAAGTAAACGGGAGTATCGAGCACCAAGCGGCCGCTCCGAAAAGTGCTAGCGGGCGGATCGCTCGCAAGCGCTTTTTCGAGCCCGTGAGCAGTACCCAGCTCTGCCGTGGAGTGACCAACACGATTTATCACCTTCGAAAATTTTTGATTTCGAAAACTACTGTGCCAATTTCAAGAAATCGCGAGTTTTTTGGAAACCCTTTTTTTTGAGTAAGTCAAAAGTAAACATTTTTTTTTATTATGCGCGAATACAACGATGTACGGCACACAATAAAAACAAAAATTATGGTGTTATCAAGAGGATGGTGTACCCGCGAAAAACACCTTAATGGTGTTAGTCTCGGTGTTAAACAAATTTCCTGGAAAATGTAAAATTTTTCTATAGGTATTCTCGCATTATTTGGGCGTTGTGCATGGGTGCACCATCCTGTTCAAACCAAGTTTCCAACTTTTGTTTTTTTTTGTGTCGTACCATCGATGTTTCCTTTGTAAAAAATGCTACTTAATACAGTATGTACTTTTTTACGAGTCATATAAAAAAAGAAAGTTGATGACTTTTCCGAAACGATAGTGTCTTGTAGAGCTCAAAAAGTAACAATGAGAAAGTGGTTTTTATTTTTTGTATCTGTTCAAATAACATCAGAAACAAATAAAAACGAAATCGGCAAATTTCGACTTTTCTGGTCTGATAGACCTCCTTATCCTGGACACAGTGTATAAGGTATGGTCAACAAAAAAGTGATTCGAGTTGATCCTGAAACATGGAGATAGATGTATCGGTCATGTGGAATTGTAGTGAATTGCACCTGCCTGAATACCACCTGTCATTGTTTAGGAGGAGCACCTACTAGAATTCAATACAATTCTATAGCCATCTTCCGAAAAGTATTAAACTGATTATGGATATTCACGAATTTAAAAAAAAGATTAAAACAATTTTTAATAAACATGGAACCCTATTCCAATAACGAATTTTTAGAATAGTAGATGCATGTAATACATTAGGTCTCTACAACTTTTGATTGAGAAGTCTGATCGAAAAAGTACGAATTGTTTCGGATTCTACGCACCAAAATTAATTTTTTCCCGAAAAATTTTGGTGCAGTCGATTTTTGGAAAAAAGGTAGGTTATACACTGCCTTTTTTTTGCCCTGAAAAAAAAATTGTCTCAGATAGACCCGGAAAAAAATTTTTCTTATAGAACGTGGCCTGTAGAATCCATAATTTCAAACAGTTCCAAGATTGGGCTATTAGTTCAAAAGTTACAGCCCTTTGAATTTTCTTTCGAAATTGGTCTATAACTTTTGATTGAGAAGTCTGATCGAAAAAGTACGAACTGTTTTGGATTCTACGCACCAAAATTAATAAGGAAAAGTTTTTTCCCGAGAAATTTTGGTGCAGTCGATTTTTGGTAAAAAGGAAGGTTATACACTGATTTTTTTTTGCCCCGAAAAAAAGATTGTCTAAGATCGACCCGGAAAAAATTTTTCTTATAGAACGTGGCCTGTAAAATCCATAATTTCAAACAGTTCCAAGATTGGGCTACTAGTTCAAAAGTTACAGCCCTTTGAATTTTCTTTCGAAATTGGTCTACTGATTAGTTACTTCTTATGCATTGAAAGTACTTCATTTGTATATAGTAAGAAATAAAGAAGTATTATTATTATTAGTTAATTTACCTTTGAATGGGAGCTGTCAACTTAATGAATAGTAGAGGTGATCTAAAATTTCCACGGCCTTCTCTGAATCCCAATTTTGTTAATCATACCTTAGCTAATAACGATCTTAAATAATAAATAAAACGTAAATTAGGTAATTCAAATTATCAATTACGATTATTAATTGTATGTTGCTTTGTGACATTAAAATAAAATCTAAAATCAATAGACAAACATAAGCAAAAATAAAAAAAAGAGAGACAATAGCACGCGGTGTTCCCAAGCAGTCACCCATCCAAGTACTGATCGATCCCGACATTGCTTAACTTCGGTGTTTTTAATGTGGTATGGCCGTCGTCGAATAATGCAGTGTTCTAAGGGGAACAATTACAGAATTTTTCTTCAAAAAAGAGCACACGAAAAGTTATTTTGCTTTCGTTAACACTTTGGCAGTCCACATTAGACATATCTGGTTTGGGCTAGGAAGCTGTTCTGTCTATAATTTGGCACCTGGCTTTCCTAGAACCTCCTAAGAATTCATATAAAACAAAAGCACCAATAGTATGCTCCAAATGTTAATGCAGTGTCTTCTATAATTTAGGTATTAATTGCTCTGCAGTTGGTAACAACAACATATCGAATACTTCTGAGAATGTCTCGGAACAGTAAGAACTTCACAATTTCGTTGAAAAAATAGTAAAACCCATTTCCTTGATGTACAGGAGCTATATAATATGCTCTTCTTATGGTTAAATTGAAAGCATGGTTGAAAGAGAAATATCTCATTTATCCCCAATTTCTTCGTGGAAAAAGCTAAACACATTACATTGCTCTGATGCACAGGAAGCAAATCTTATGTTCCTTTGATTAGGTCACATTTGGACCCACAAACACAAACCTAATCAAAAAGAGGGTGTAATGTTTTACGAGTTCCCCAATGAAATTGATGCATAATGGGGAACCATATACTATCAAACTAGATCCCACTAAGCTTTCTACAACTTCTCATTGCTGAAATCCTCAGCCTCAGATAGGCCGAGTCTCTTTACATTAACTGTTAAAACTCTCTGAGATTCCTGTATAACACTTAAGTAAAGTCGCAATCATCCAGACATACCTGTAAAGTATTCTAAGGACTTTTAGAATTTCATAATTCTGTCTGCGAATCGCCCCTTGAGAAATGCACTACTCACCGAGAAGTTGCCTCTGTTCTTCGGACACTAAACCCTGCCAGGTATTCGTAATGGCCCAACTTTTATCTTGCACGCTATTAGTAGGCGTGGGACTGTCGGATGCGGCACTTGATATCTCGGGAGACCCCGTACGTAACGTAACATTAGTATCACTATTTTCAAATTCGGAATCTGTACTAGTGGTGTCGATGTGCTCAATGTATTCATTATGGTCCTCAGTCCTGAGCTCTATAAGATCCTTATACGGGCTTTGCACTTCCGAGTTTGGCCACGAGAACCTCGGTAAGGGTAAGTCTAATGGTGCGTTAATTAATTCGCCTCTCAATGGCATATTGAACTGATAGGCGGCTACTAATTTTAAAGCCGAATAGAACTGTTTCCTATTTAAATAGATTGTGTTTTGATTCCAGCATAGCTCTGAAATCTAGCGGAAGATAGGTTAAAACGGAAAGGCCAATTTATATCGTCTTACTTGCAGTATGACGTCTTGGGGCACGTTCCCCGACTTAATTAACTCTAAAGCTTTGCTAACTGACACTTTTCCAGTATTTTCCTCGTCGCAACATACAAAAAAATCGGAAAAATATCGTTGCAAAGTATCTGTCAATTTTAAGTCCTCCATTTTGTGTTCTTGGAATTTTTTAAGTCTCGTTGCCAGCACTGCGCAACAATATAATTATATACAGGGAGGTGCGAACAAATCCGTTCTGTTTTGACTAAGTTCAAGGTTAAAGAAAATAAATTTTCTTATTCATAAATTATCCTACATTTTGGCTCCCCTATAAGGCCAATGTTTTGCAGGTGATAGTTGACCCGTGAAGACTCTGATGATCGTCCTAATCTGACCGCTATTCAGTTTTAAGACTCAGATTTCCCGAGGGCCCCAATAAGAAGACCTTGAAAAAGTTGAACTGTCCGGTCCTGACAGTCCTACTGCCTTAGCGAGTCAATTTGTCCGCCCTTTCGTTGCCTCATATTCCTGGCACCCAGCTGAAGCTTACCCCAAGAAATAGAAATTGGGTTGCACAGGCGAAAAAGATTAGATTAGAACGGTATTATTTCTTACTGCTGACAGGCCCCTTTATTGCTTTTACTTTAATTAGTCAACGAAAACTTTGAATAATAGGTATATTTATGGGCAAACACCAATATCGACAAAAAATTCAAAGGGCTGTAACTTTTGATCTAGTAGCCCGATCTTGGAACTGTTTGAAATTATGGATTCTACAGGCAACATTCTATAAGAAAATATTTTTTTCCGGTCGATCTGAGACAATTTTTTTTCGAGGCAAAAAAAAGGCAGTGTATAACCTTCCTTTTTTTCCAAAAATCGACTGCACCAAAATTTCTCGGGAAAAAACTTTTTCTTATTAATTTGGGTGCGTAAAATCCAAAACGATTCGTACTTTTTCGATTAGACGTCTCAATCAAAAGTTATGGGCAAAAAAATTCCTGTCTTTAAAATTTAAAATTCTTATTTTCGTCATTTCGTGAAAGGCAGGACGCAGGTACCTCACCTCATGTAGCAGTACTAAGTACCTGATACCTATTTGTTATTTTGGGCATCAATGTAGTTAATTGCCGATCGATGCCGAATAGCCAAATCGTTGACTGCCAACATTGATCACTCACTGAATAGTGAATACTGAATACTACAGAATATTTAGATTTTAGTGACTTTAGACTTTAACCAAAACCAAAATTGCTCTCTATATATAGGTATCTATATATTATTGCCTTTATTTTAAAGTGGGCGGAGCGGATAGCGGAGTATTACCTAAATACCTAATAGCTATGATGATAACTCAATTCTTCTGGGGGGGGGGGGATATATCCCCTTCACACCCCCCCCCCCCCGTAAATACGCCACTGCGAAGCTATAGGACAATCTTGGAGGAGAGGTTAAGAGTAGGAAAAACAACTTACATGCATTTCGTTATTTCGTAGATTTAGAAAAATCATTCGATAGGGTCAATTGGAACACTTTATTTAGGATAATGAAGGCGTCGGGGATAGTATATAAAAATAGGAGGGTAATTTACAACAGGAACAGAGAGCGATGATTAACGTAGAGGGTGAGAAGGCGAAGGCCAAGGTGTAGAGGAGGCTTAGACAGGGCTGTAGGTTGTCACCCGTAGGTACATAGAGGGAAGCAGGAATGTAAAGGAATTTTGCATTTAGGTAGTAAAAGGTTACACAAGTCACAAGATAATCGTAGCAAGGAAGATATAAAATCCAGGTTGGCGCAGGCTAAAAATGAATTTGACAAAAGCGCGGGATCTGCTAAGATCCGGGATACATATAGGAATTAGGAAGAGACTGCTAAAAACATTGAAATAAAATACTGCTAAAAACGTACCTACAGTGTAGCTCTATACGGATGCGAAACCTGGACGATAGGCAGGGAAGATAAAAATAAGATAGAAGCATTCGAAATGTGGTGCTAGAGGAGGATATAATGATGATTAGCTGGATGGACAGAGTAACAAACCAAGTAGTCTTGGAGCTAGTACAGGAAAATAGGAAAATGTGGAAAACCATATAGAGAAGACAAGATATAATGGTAGGGCACGTGCTCAGACACGGAGAATTAGTACAGCTAGCTATAGAAGGTAGGACAGAGGGCAAGAGAGGGATAAGACGACACAGGCTTAGATACATATACCAAAGTGTTAGGGAAGTAGGCAAGGGTAGTTATGTAGAAGTGAAAAGATTAGCGCAGAGGAAAGGGTGGAGGACTGCGTCCAACCAATCCTAGGATTGTGGACTCCAAGAAGAAGAACTGCTAAATATCGACTAATTACTTTTTTTTGGCAAAATTCGCCATTTGACATCTAGATAAAGCAAATCGGCGTTTTTATAATGAAATTGGTGTACATATGATTTTATTTCTAGATTTATATTGTATACGATCAGTCCCGCTTAGTCCACTTACGGAATCATCCCAGGAGGCAGACCTCCAGAACCTGTCAATTGCAATTCCATTAAAATTGTTATCTATTGTTTTCCTTTATGTAAGAATGTAGTAGACGTCCTTGAGTGCCAGGAAGGTTCTCATCTCATTCTCATTCTTTATAGAATGGCAAATTAATTAAATTTGGAACTTTTTATGTTTTGCCCTTGATTCGGAGGTTGCATCGAATTAATGAGCTTATTTGAATACATATAGATTGAGATGATTTGAACAGTACCTAGGTAATTATTTGCTATAGGTTTTGCCTGTCTTTGAATGTTTATATTCAAAGATTTAGTTAACTTGGTGGTTTTTAGCGTATTTTCCTCAAAGTGAAAAATGACAATTGGCTGCACTTTGTCGTCCGTCCGTCCGTGCGTCACACGTACTCCTACACCACTGAACTGATTTGGGCGATATAGGGCTCATTTGAAAGAGCTTGGTACACAGTGTCAAAAATGCTAACTTTTATGTATGAAGATAAGTATTTAAATGAAACTTTATATGTAAACACTACGAACACTTAAAACTATAGACTTCGACGATAGGCGGGTCATTATTGAAAGAGAATTGGGTAAGGATCTCGTGCCTACCGCTCCTACCAGTATTTTCCCTGTCCTTAGCAATTAGCATTAATATTATTGGGAGCAAAATACGCTCTCGTCATTTATGTTTGAATTGTTTCACTTTCAAACATTATTTATAAAGACATGGAACCGGCATATTGTACAGATCCACACTGCAACTTTGAGTTATGCCTTATGCAGAAGAGGATGTCTCTGCAATCTAAAGAAGTACCTACTCCTACTTTTAAAAATTTAATTCTGATGTCACAATGTGAAGATTTCAGAAGTATTTTTCTAGAGGGAATAAGTAGACTTCTCAGGTGCATCGAACTCGGCTCGAATTAGAAAGTGTAACATTATAAACTATTGGTTACTGTGTATTATATTCATAAATACAGAAAATTTATATGAACACGCACGCTTTGCTTACATCTCGTATAATGATGTTTTGTAAATTGTCTGTTGCAACAGAAAGGGCAAAAAGCCATGGTATTTCTCGTTCCGCGCTAAGTATATGAAATTACATATTAGATAATCTAGTATTACAAGAACTTGCAATTAAACGACATCCAGAGAATATCACAGCGTATGGTCTCGATTACATTATTCCTACATCAATTAATTTAACAATAAAGCGCCAATAAAAATAAATTGCACAAGGTCAAACTTTATTTACAACAAATCTCTACGATCACTTGTTTAATCATTGCGTAAAAAGTTACATGTACGTACTTAAAGCAAACATTTAACAGCAGCGAAAAACAAAGAACAATATTTAGACATTCACCTTTTACTATTTCGTATGCACCCCATGAGCTTGGATCACCGAACCGTATACCTAATTAGGTAGAACCCACCAAGTTTAACCAATTACTTTGGTGCACTTGACATCCATTTCAATAATTGAAAATTGAATTGACCTGATTTTATCGGGAAATATTCAGAATTTCAAAACGGCCATGTGAAATCTATGCCGTAGATGAAGGATGTAATGGAAACTGGTCATACTTTTTGAATCAATGACCTTTGATGAATGAATTACTATTCAACTATTGCAATCGCAAGTGTTGGTCAATCGTTTGGATCCGTTGGGTTCATTATTTGGCAACAGTAACATAATAAACGCACTATTAGTTACTGATCGACTATTTTTCTTGAAATATTCTTCTTCTTCCAAAGTGGCCTCAATAGGATGATTTGGTAATCGCGGTATCCCAGTATCTTCTATGCTAGAACTCGACTCTTCCGTTATTACAAGCACAAAAACAGATTAGGAGATTTAGGATTTTTGTCAATAGGAAAAAGGCGATCCGCGTTAAGCTAAAGCAAATTCAAATTTACCCAATAGGGACGTTACTGGTAGAAATTTTAGCCAATGGTGGCTGAAAAACATAGTTTTTTTTGTTGATTTAAAAACGTTTTTCAAGAAATAAACTGTTTACTTGAAAATGTGTATAATTTCGGTGGGGGTCCATAGTGCACATCCTCAGCTGTAACAAAAAATTGAATGTTTTAACAATAAAGTAAAAAAAGTACATAATTATGGCGATTAATTGAGACAAGTACTGCTAATGAAAATTTATTACCACTATTATCTTGTTTTAAATGCAATTTTCAAGAGTTTTATGAACAGCAAACAAGGAGTGTTATGATGTTTCACGATGATGTGTATTATACAGGGTGTTACACGACCGTTCGAAAAAAAAAATCGGGTTGTAGAGGGCATCAAAACAAGCACTTTTTCCAAATAAACCGAGGGTCCAACGTGTTTCGTTTGGGAGCCACCCCCCAAAGAGTGTTGAAATCTGCTTTTCTTCTTTAATTTTTTTCTCAGCAACCATAAGAGTTACAAAGTCGGGTGGCATGTCTTTGAATAGGTTTTTGGGTATGCTCTTTCCGATTTTGCAATTTTTTTTTCAAAATTCCTACCCCTAAAGGGCGCACCCCTAAACTAGGGTGCAAAAAAAAATTCTGATTTCGACGAAATTTGGTATCTGGGGTTTTTTTAACATGAAAATCACGAATCTGAAATTAGTTTTTGAAAATTCGAAAAAAAAAAAGTTCCACTGCAATTCTTGGCGGGACAACGAAAATAGAGATAATTCCACGAAATTTGTTGTGTACATACTAAACGAGTTAAGGAACAAAACTGTCGAACAGTTTTTTAATATAACTTTTCAAACAAAAGTTATACTCATTTGAATGTTGGTCCTTCGGGTCGCGAAGTGTCCCAAGCCTACTAGTAAGCCATAATTTCGCATTGTGTTGGTTGACAATGTCGCAAAAACAAAAGATTAACGGTTTGAGTCGATATTTTGTTATTTGGAATTAATTCGGTCATTAAATGATTAAAAAATTCGATGTATCGATTAAAACACCTACCAAGGTATCTTAAAGCGCTTAAAGCGCTGACAACTTCAGGAAACTTCACAAGAATAACACATAAATGTAGAAAAGTTATAAGAGACACTTTTGTTAATATTCGTGAAGAATTTTAACACAGACTGTATTATTGTCTGTGAATGAGCCGAATCGATTTTGGGTATTTAATAAAATAAATTTGATACAGTCAAAACGTTATTTTTGTCTTCCCATTCATGGAAGGTTTTGTATTTTCGTCGATATGGAGCTGATGTACGTCTTCTAACGCAAAAATTATGAATGCGCTAATTTTAAATATCCCAGCAAGATCAAAATCAATATGTTACCTGTATCGTTAAATCAATAAATACTGTCAAATGCAGGTAATACATCGTCTGCTTTATTAACGAGCGGAAGTAACTATGCCGCTTGTTGTCTGTATTGGTGCAGTTTATTTATGATGCAAACGTTATAGGTTACAGTATAAACAATTCTATGTAACATTTAAATGCTCACAAAAAATCATTACTTAATTTGAAAGAATATTCTAATGATAAATTGAATTACACTTTATCCCTAAGTCTTACGCGCAGCAATATAAACAATTGTTCAGAGAAACGCAAACGCAATTCGTTTAATATACGAATAATGCAAGCCGTACCTTATCTCAAACCAGGTGGTGTAACTACAATACTTGATTAAAGTAACAGACTCGTCTGCCATTTTGAAGCCCACTGACAATCCAAATCTGTGCACAGAAAAATAAAACTGGTCTTACCTTTATGTATTAATAAACGTTAAAAAATCAATGGTTTATCTTAAAATGATACATGCAAGACATGCAACGATTTGCCAGCGTTAATTATCAGTGGGCTCCAAAATGGCGGAGGACACAGGCGGATGATTCAGTTGTGAAATGCATACTAGCTATACGTGTCACTGTTACGTTAACGGAAAATGCAGATAAACGACCCTGGTTTCCAACACAATTACGGAGTAGAAACGACGACAAACGCAAGATTATGACGGCAAAGGTTTCCTTCCAATTTTACATCCTTTTCACAGTCATCAGTAGGTAATCTTCAATTTGAATGACAAATGCTTCATAAACAACAAAAGCTTTCCGTGTAATAGCGGCCCTCCCCGTACATGAAGTGGAAGTAGGTCTACGCATGGGGTCTACGTAAATATCTCTCCTAAGTCCTAATTTACTCGATTGGAGTTGAAAATTGTTTCTATTCGTTGATGTGTGTGGAAAACCATTTTTGGAACAACATTAGCACTTTTTCTACTAAATATGGCCAATTAGACGCCATATAAATGCGTAAAACGCGCCTGCCTCAAGCGAATGAATATGCATGGCGCACACGTTCTCGTTTACCCGAGAAACCTTCGTTTTAAATTTAAATTACACATGAAAAATATACCTATTCACTATAACGTTTGGTATTGTGTAAGTTTATATACAAGGTAATTCAAAAATGTATCATTTTTTGCACTAAGGAGAAAATATACAAGGTGCGTAAAAAGTAGATTTTGATACCAAAGTTGATTTTTTTAAATGAAACAGTATTTTTTAAAATTCATTTTCGAATTGTACGTCATAATAAAAATAATTCGGAAATGGATTTTAAAAATTACTGTTCCATTAAAAAACTTGGTATCAACGCGGTATGACGCACCCTGTATATTTTCTCTTTAGTGCATAAAATTCACAAGAAAAAATTATGATAGACGTGTGCGACCATTTTTTTTTAACCCAACACTTCATTTTTAAATGAATTTGTTCCATATTTTAGCCGCTCACTGTAAAAAATTCTTCTGTACGTGTGTTGTGATTGTAAACGGCTGGACGGATTTTGATGAATTTTTTTATGCGCCTCTGTCTGTCATCGGATGGTTTCGATCGGATTGTAGGATTTTTTAAAAACTTCTTTTTTCGTTGATGCCGCACTCTACTGTTTCGCGTACCGATCGATACATGCGCCTCAAGTCACTTGTGACGTACTTGTTTCCGTCATCATATATCCGTCAATATCGACTATCGAGGGTACGAAATCGCAGCGGAAAATAATCAAGTGCCAATAAATAAATAATAATAGTCTACCTTTTGAAATGGCACTCTTTTGTTTAGGCAAAAATGCGTCTTCATTTTAATTTCTCAGATTACGCGTTTTTACTTATCTTTGTAAATAATTTAATGTTTTTCATGAAACCCCATTAAGAGTGAATCGCTGGCCACAAGGGTGCTCATTCACCCGAAGATTGGGAGCATGGTCAACGGTACCGGAAACGGACGCTAATTCCGAAAGGTTCCACATGTAACCTATACCTACTAATGTGATTGTATTTTAAACATTTTTTCTTATCATCCCCAATTTTGTTTTGTTTTTAGAAAAGAGTTCGATGGCTTTTCGATAGAGGTACATTTTCAAAGTTTGTCTTGAGCGATACGTTACGCTTTATCACAGTTCCAACAAGGTTATCAATGTAGAATGCGGCGCTTTATTAAATAAAGCAACACAATTCACTCCTCACTCGTTCAATACGGTTAGCGTTAAGCGTCGCGACGCCAACATTCTCTCCGTACTGAAATAGCAAGGTATACGTTCAGTAGCCGATTTTCGGTGAAGGCGTACGCACGCCGCGTGTTTGTTGTTGAAGCCGTTTAAATATTTATATATTGTTTTAAAGCAAACAGTGCTATTGTACTGATGGATTGTGTTTTGGTTTGTGTAAAACGCCGTAGATCCTCGGTTCTTTAACAGTTGATAATAGCAGCAAATTGAGATTGATCAGACAACTTTCACTGTACAATTTTCCATTTGCGCTCAATTTGTGGCGTTGCTAACGTAAAAATTACTTAAACAAACTGGTTGCATCGCGTATACCGAAATCGATTCTGTGATTGACCCGTTTTCGTGTGCCTTATTGTATAAAAATGGAAATGACAAAGATGGAGTTTAACGTGCTTAAATCGATAATGGACCTTGTATCGTTCTTTTTAGTATCGACAGTACTAGTAATTAAAGCAATCATCTATGGCTGCCTACCGAAATCCTACAAGAAGAAGAAGAATTTCGAAAACGAAATCGTTCTAATCACCGGTGGCGCCGGCGGCATCGGAAGGCTCGTAGCCCTTAAACTTGCCAAACTGAACGCGAAAATTGTTTTATGGGACGTTGATACGTCAGGTAAGAATTTTTTTTCCCCTCTAAAAACCGGATTAAAACCGACAACGAAAGTAAAATTTCACTCTTACCTTGACATTACACAACTTTCTCGTGAAAATTATTAAAATACAAATTGTTTAAATTATTCGATCCGAGGATGCTAATGTAAAGTAAGGCAGGAGAAATTTTTCACCACGTAATCCCTCGAATTTGTGATATAATCGACACATAGCGCCATTTTATGGACTCGAATGAAGTTAATGTACTTGCTAATCGTATAATGTTGTAAACGTTTATGGTTTAACAATATTATAGCTCTATTCAATTTTTGTTTACTTAGACGCGAACGTGATTGTAATTTATATAGCTCATTTGCGTTTTGATAAATTATGATGTAGCCAAGACAGTAGAAGAATTGTTGTGTAGATATTTGTATAAAAGTGGGTTAAATAGTTTTTTGCTCGTCCCTTAAGACCCCTCGAAGCTACCTCAGGAATTATTATCTGAAGACCGATTACTATAAATACCTATAGAATAGTTATACTCAACCTTTAAGTGCTGCTTTTTAGAGGTCCAAAGTGTAGTTTTTTACGGATTGTGCAAAAAGTGCCATTTTTAGATAAGGAATGGCGATGAAAATGTAAGGAGCGGCTTCCTACTATAATTACACACGTTAGCACTTTAGTTTAGTCGTTTTCAACAGCACAGCAACGGACCATCGAAACAATCGATCATGACACTCTTAATGGCCAGAGTTTGTATGTGACATCTGTCGTGTCACAAAAGGTTCTCATATTGATCATGTACAGTTCTGAGCACGTGTACCTAATTAAACTTTAAAATTATCGCTAAGTTTAACGTTTCTGATACATCACAGGGCCGATTTGCGTCTGTTAAGATAACGGACTATCTTTGTACTTATCGCAATTAAAAATTGGGCCCAATCCAAAAATTCATTCTTTAAAGAAAAGGAAAGGAATTTTTTTTAAATCTAAATAGCTTAGGAAATGGTTGGGTTATAAGGAGAGGAGACTCTTTACATATAAACATTTAAACACCGCCTGGCATACATTCAAAATCCTCCGACACTCCATTCTGCAGATATTTGTACCGAAAACTTCGATTTCACCAGTAAATATGTCTCGTCCAGTCGATTCATTTTTCCTGTAAGAGTACGTTCCTCTGACAAATCGCTTTCCAGATATTCGTTCTTAAAGTTTTGAAATCTCCAATGGATATATTTCTTCACAATCGCCCTTTGTGAGTACCCTTTTCCGTCCATCCGTTCTTATATCCGATCACGATAAGGGGTTGAGGAGGAGGATTATGGTTGGTAGAAATTAATTCCTTTTGTTGAGACCTTTCATTAGAGTACCATGAAGGATAAAACCAGTTCCACTGCCCTTCCTCCACCCCCCTCTATTGATAAGGGCCCAGAAAGTCAGCAGCAGTTGGTATATAAAACGTTTCCTTTCGTTGAGACTTTTAATTATAATACCATGAAAGATAAAATTAATTTCTATCCCCCCCCCCCCCCTCATTTTCAAAAGTTTAACTTGGCACCACTAAAGGCATGCATATGCAAATTCTGAGACTAATTGGTTGTCGTATGTAAAAGTTCTGCACGTTCAAAAACAGCATCTAACGAAATAATTCATGGGGGGCCCCACCTTTAAGACAGTGAAATTTGATGGCCTTCTGACACAGCTTCAAGGTATAGGCTACCTTGTGCAAAAAAATCAAGGACTATAGGGCCATTCAAAATGGCAGAAATGGGCCCGGACGGACGGGCGGATAGTCGGACAAAACGCAAACAATAATTTAAAAAAAAATGCGCTAAAAAAGCGGCAGAGCACTTCGGAGTGACCATACGGATCATTGGATTTAACCCATATATGCCTGTTACATATCGTATACAGCGTGTTGCATCGTCAGGCTGGACATAGGAAATCCTCTGTTAATTCGAAGGAGGTTGAGTATTGGTCGAGCGTTTTAAAAAACCGCTCGAGCGACGAGGGACGGGCGCTCTAATCGTCTCAAAAATGCTCGCGGGTATCGAGCTATTTTGCTAAGCGGTTTATCGCGAGCACTCGGGAAAAGTGCTCGTAAGCGGAAAAAACGCTCAAGAGCGGAAAAAGCACTCGGAAGCGGAAAAAACCGCTCGGGAAGGGAAAAAAGAGCTTGCAAACGAGAAAAACACTCATGACCGGAAAAACTGCTCGCGAGCAGAGCGTCGAGCACTTTAAGTAAACGCTCGAATATCGAGCACCAAGCGGCCACTCCGAAAAGTCCTCGCGAGGGGACCGCTCGCAAGCGCTTTTTCCGTTTGGAGCGCTTTTTCGAGCGAAACGCTCGCGAGCAGTACCCAGCTCTGAATGTAGTTAATTTTAATTGTAACTCTTCAGCTATTTGTAACTAATCTCTGTTTTTTAACTAGGAAGACGGATTTAAAAACCTGATTTACACTGAAAATGTCACTAGAATCTAGTAACAAAAATAATAGACTCATTTTATACAGACATGTATTGTGTGTTGCGTGATGTGTTTTTCTTTCACATTTGGATAGATTTCATTATTTATGCTTTTGGGTTATTATTTGATAGGAACTACTTTATATTATGCATACATCACACTTTTAAAAGCGAATTATAATAAATAGGTAATAATTGATAATAGGTAATAATGCTGCACACATTTTTTGACCTTTGAAACATTGTTTTGAATTGTAGTTTTAAATGTTTTATCAGTTGTAATACTACACAATCCACATTACAATTTACAACAAATGTTAAGTTATTGAACAAATTCAGAGCAATGGAATTATATTCATATTATTAAACAGCACAGTTCACTGTTTTATGTATAAGCGATTTAGACACTGTCTTCCGAAAGTTCACTAAAACTGTCACTGTCCTCCGATCCGAGTGAAATAATTAATGATTCTATAAGTGTATCCATTAGGCCATCCAATCTACACATCTTATTTTCTTCCTTAATAACGTGTTGCACACACTTCCGCCAATCGTCAGAGCTCACATTTGCAACAGCCTTATGACCACCGGAACGTTTCGAAGGGGTAACAATCCCAGTACTTCGATCTTCTTTAATTATCCGGTATACTGTTGATCGTGCAACTCCTAATATGTGTCATACTTAATAACTAAATATATACCTACATCATTATTTACGTTACCTGTGATAGATGTAATCTTCAACACAAGCGTAGCAAAATTCATATCCGGAGTATCAGATAACATTTGTTTATAAGTGTTTATAATAAATTGCTTTTCGGAGACTGATAAAATGACCTAAGTTTAAGCGACAACGTTTTTTCAAAGGAGACAAGCTTGCTTTACTGGTACTTGGAGTTGAATCCATCACCAATGCCAGTACACTTAGGACGCGAAATATCAACTTTAGTTCTTAAAAAAAAGAACTGTTATACTTTGTTAAAATTTATGCAAAAGGACTCGGAACACACGAAAACTCAAAAATAAGTACAACAGTTAAGGATGAGAATCGCGATTAAATTTGACAGTTAAATCATGTCCATAGAACAACAAACTTTTTTTTTTTGTTCTGGGATCATGTCAATAGTAATTTTACCGGGTGTAAAACGGGCGCAGCGCGAGTCAATAGAAACTAAGATTTTTTGCGGGAAATTTTAAATTCGTCTTCCTAGTTAAAAAACAGAGTATAGGGGTAGGTAACCCTTGAATTTGTTTATTATTTCATTGTTTCACTTAAAATTTTATTCTTATTTTGATTTGTTTAATATTAGCCAGTTTCTTCGATGTTTAAACTCATTTAGTTTGATTAGCGACTTCAATTCTTTGTGTATGAATCGGCCTTTTTTTAATGTCTTTAACTGTTTTCTCCGTGCAGAGGTAAATGCTGGAGTGTTAAAATTATTTAGCGGCATTCATCTCGAAATACAACTTCACTCTAAGGTTACCGTATCCAGGACCTCCAGATACCTTCTGGATTGGAGAAGGTCCCGCTAATTAACAAAGTATTTCATTTACGTTATGTAAGAAACTTGAATGTTATTTTTCACAAATGGAAAGGAGTCGAGTGGCTACTTTTGAGCATATCAAATTTTGTATTAGATTAAAGTCAGATTAAAATTATTCAAATTCAAGAGGTACTTCCTTGGATTGTTAATTTTTGTTAATTTTGTTATTGCAGACATTGCTCTAGACTTTTTACTTTTTACTTATATTTACCCTCCGTGAACATTGATTCAGAATTTTCTTCGGACTGTAATTGTAAACCGTAAAAAAAGCAGGTGCATGACCCTTCGTAAATTAAACGTTTGCCAGCATTTGCATTAGGCTTTTTTTAAAGTTTTATCTCTTCCTTTAGTAACGGAAAATATGTATATAATTAATAGAAGCATACCATTGAAGGAGTTCGGAAAATTTAAATTTTTTTAAATTATTTTGTATAATCGAATTAAATTGTTTGTATATTTTTGCCGGAGCCCCTTTTAATTCGGGACTCGTTCTCATTGCGTACGTTTGAGGCATTGTTGTTACGCCACTGCTATTGAATCTACCCCTTTTCTTGTTTCACTCTTCCCGGTTCCTTCGTAATCTGGTTGCTATTGAGTTTAAGAAGCTTAGAATACCCAGATTTTCCGGGGGGGGGGGAGATGTTAAAAAGGGCAGTCGTAGTATGACTGCTGGGACCGCTAGTTTTATATGTTCCCCGAATCATGGTAGTCAAGAGACGTTTTTGTACCACTAAAAACTGGCAAGTTATGGGATTCGAACTCACAACCTGTGAGGTGAAAGTTCGAGTCTTAAACCGTTACGCCGAATGGACTGGGCACCTAGTCTTTTATCCTCGCCTTAATAACGGGGGGAACAATCCCTTGGGTGGACTCAAGCGCGAAGAAGACACTACTACTATCGTTGCTCCCTATTCGGCAGTGCGTTGGCACCCAGATCAGGCTTACCCTATTCGACTCATAGTTAACTATTAGGAACACAGTCAATACCAGGGCAAAAACCACTCCC